GTAGCAATAAAGCAATATAGATCTAGGGTTCCCAACTTCTTGGGAATATAAGTTCCCACCTTGATCAAAACTCTAGAGAAATAAAACAATAGGCTGAATATTATATACGTGATTAAATGATAGTTCTAATCCTATACTATAATATGTTGGCTAATTCCAGCTCTGCATTAAGACCCGAGGGAATCAGGGTCCTAAGTGTATAGATCCAAAACATCTCTCGGTATGTTAGGGTTTTGCTCAACTCCCCTCCTCTCCATGGTATTTCTACCCTTTCTATACCGCAATATGAGAGAAGTGTTGGGTCTCCATTGTGGTATATTCTGAAGTGATTGGAGAGGGAGTGTTTCTCAAAACCCCTTTTAATGTTGTAAACGTGTTCTCTGAGTCTAATCTTAAGTGTTCTTTTGGTTTGGCCCACGTATTGGAGGCCACAAGGGCACTCCAACTTGTAGATGACTTGTTTGGTATTACACGTAATACAATTCTTGATGTCAAACATTTGTTTAAAAAGAATTTTTTTAGAGTCAATTTTCTCATATATTTTTGTACATCTAAAAATGCTGTAAATGGATCTGATCTCACCGTGGGAGCATATTTTAGTCCCTTATTAAGCACTTTAATTTGGTTTATAGTTAAGATGACTTCAGACAAATTGAAAATTCCTATTTGTTCTACTTTCTCATTTTCTTTTCTCCTGTGGTATCTCTTCCACCCCCTGCATCCTCTAAAAGAGGTCTCTTTCTGGTGCTGGGTTTTGAGAAGGGTTGAGAAGGATTATAATGAGGAAACACTGGAGATAGCTCTCCAGAAAGTGAAAAATATAGAACGTGCAACCCTTTTACAAACCAAACAAAAGAAAGCCAAAACAGATAAAGACACAGATAACTTGTGCCCTCTAGTGTTTAATTATAGCACACAAGCAAAATGCATTAAAACAAGCATACAAAAACACTGGCACCTACTTCGGCAGGACCCGGTTTTAGCTACACTTTTACCTATACAACCAATGGTAATTTTTAGGGGGGCACCAACATTACAAGATAAACTGGTACACAGCTATAATAAGTCTATAAGACCTAACCATTTTTTGACTGGTCAAAAAGGATTCTACAAATGTGGAAATTGCAATATATGCAAACTAAGCTCTAGAGGGAAAAATTATTCCACCTTTCAGTCCTCGGTCACAAAAGAAATGTTTGACATCAAGAATTGTATTACGTGTAATACCAAACAAGTCATCTACAAGTTGGAGTGCCCTTGTGGCCTCCAATACGTGGGCCAAACCAAAAGAACACTTAAGATTAGACTCAGAGAACACGTTTACAACATTAAAAGGGGTTTTGAGAAACACTCCCTCTCCAATCACTTCAGAATATACCACAATGGAGACCCAACACTTCTCTCATATTGCGGTATAGAAAGGGTAGAAATACCATGGAGAGGAGGGGAGTTGAGCAAAACCCTAACATACCGAGAGATGTTTTGGATCTATACACTTAGGACCCTGATTCCCTCGGGTCTTAATGCAGAGCTGGAATTAGCCAACATATTATAGTATAGGATTAGAACTATCATTTAATCACGTATATAATATTCAGCCTATTGTTTTATTTCTCTAGAGTTTTGATCAAGGTGGGAACTTATATTCCCAAGAAGTTGGGAACCCTAGATCTATATTGCTTTATTGCTACATGCACTGATATAAATATAATTCATATATATTTTATATACATATATTTTACCAAGTATATAAGTTTCGATTTTATATGTTAGGAGTTTATAGAATACAACAATACTAATCATGATATTTTTATGAACTTACTATTTTATGTACTAGACATGGTTTTGTATGCTACAAGTCCCTAAAAGTTAGCACTTTCTCCTTTTTACAGTCCTGGGGGCACTACTTGTTATTAGGTTTCTTATTGGATAGATATACTTCTGATAAATTCATATACTCTGTGGTTATTTGTTAAGATTCAATTATTATTTTCACATCACTGGTTAAGTAATACCTATGATGTTATATGAGTTAAAACATTGACATCCAGGAGTCTGATGTATTTGCATGTCTACAGCAATCACTATCGCAGTGATTGCTTTATGTTTAGGATTTGTGTATGGAATTAGCAATTTAAATTCAAGCATAAATTGTATCTGGTCAATATTGTGTTTTATACATTGATTTTAGAAGTATTATGGGGAAGCAACTTGCCCCTGTTCATATGAATTGTTGCTCTTTTTAACATGTGTTTTAAGAAGGGTGTATACCCTTAAGAGATTTGAATTTGTTTTACCCGGCAAGGTATAAAACTGCCGAATAATGCTCCGAGCACCTATCTTGAAAAAGCCCTCGTTAGTAGGGCGAAACGCGTTGATAGGGTGCTACAATTGTCTATCTGCCAGATCTACCAGTGGCAGATTTTAGAAGTACTCGATAGAAGCCGGACTTTCAGCCAGCATTACTCCATAGACTACATCACGGGCAGCCCTCCTGAGTGCACCAGAGAGCAGCTGTCTCTAAGGAAAGAATACGAGTGGCTATGAAAGAACTTTTTCGGCAAAATCTACTATGATGAGTATCATGTTTTATCTAATGTAAGAGTTTTGAAGTTGGGGGGGATTTTTCTCATTTTTATGCTGGGCAATAAACTTTTGATACAGTATCACGCTATGTATCTTTTTCTGTTTCTTTTTTTCCAAGGTATTTCTACATGCTTTTGAATTCCTACATATCACAACGTTATTTGGACTTTTTCATTGCAGGACTTTGTTACGGTACTATACATTCTGGACACTTTTTTTTTGTATGATTTTTTCATTTTTACATATGTATGCACCTTTTTTACTTTTAAGGGGATTATCTACTTAGCGCTGAAATCCATATCTGCATTTGTCATTGGTTCATGTCTGTCCTTTGTCACAGTCTCCCATTTGGTCCCTTAGGGGAGTGTCCACCAGGTGAGAGACCTGCATAAATACTGGGCAGGTAGCGCTCATTAAACCAGACCACTGCTTGACCCTCAACACGGAACTCTGTCTCGTTCTTGGGGGGATTTACTGTATGCAGTTAGAGACTGATTGCCAGGAGTGTAAGCCGCTTGGATGCTTTTCCTATTCGTCTGCTAGCAGCTATTCGTGAGGTTCCAGTTCGAGAGTTTGGAGTGCTATTTTGTATGCAGTTCGGGAGTTTGGAGCATTCCCTAATATGCGGTTTGGGAGTTTGGTGTTCTGATGTAGCTGTGCCTGTGCATCTGAAAAGGGGAATATCACCTAAACGGTTTTTAACCTCTTGGGTGCAAAAAGGTCCGTTACAAACAGATCTTGGACAGTTTAAGAACAAACTCAATATCTCTAATAAAATGCTACTCTGATTGAAGTTCTTCAGTTTTACATTCAAAATATAAACATGGCTAAATGGAAAGATATCTGTGAACTCTCTAAAACTGTATGATTTGACTATTTTATAATTTGCAAACTATATAGTCATATTAGAATTACACATCTATGTAATAAATGGGATATTGAAAAACATTCTGAATTTTAAAAATTAATTTGAAAAAATGCATTATGAGACTAAACTTATTTCCAGAACCCCCAACTTGCTTTATATGTTTAGGAACTGATAAACCCTGGTCTATAACAAAATGCGAGTGAGACCATTGAAAATCCTTCCCATTAACTATATGTGGAGAGGCTTTTTTCTTTGCTCGTAGCTTTAGCCACCATTACATTTTCTGTAAAATTATGTATAGGTGGTATTTAACTCCCAATAGAATTCAGACATTCCATCACTGTTATTCTAACATGTGCTAGATATGCTTACAATCAGGTGGCATATTGTTTCACATGTGGTGGAAGCAGTGGCGTACACATGACCCATGGGGCCCCGGTGCGAAAATTGATCAGTGGGCTCCCCCCGCGCGGGACGGGCCACAACACATGGCGGTGGGCACCTGGTCGCAGGGGTTACAGGGCTGCGACCCCTGCGACTGCGGTATGTACGCCAGTGCATGCAGATGCATACACACTTAAAGGACCACTACAGACACCCAGATCACATCAGCTCAATGAAGTTGTCTGGGTGTCAGGTCCCTCTAGTTTTAACCCTGCAGCTGAAAACATAGCAGTTTCAGAGAAACTGCTATGTTTCACTGAGGGTTAATCCAGCCTCTAGTGGCTGTCTCACTGACAGCCGCTAGAGGAGCACACTGAACGTCCATAGGAAAGCATTGAGTAATGCTTTCCTATGGGCGGTTTGAATGCGTGCGCGGTCTCATTCGGAGCTGAGAGGCTGAGGGATCCCCAGCGCCAAGGGAGTCCGGCGCTGGAGAAAGGTAAGTGCTGAAGACACACACACTCTCACTTACAGACGCATACACATTAGCTAACAGACACACACATTTACTGACAGAGACACACTCAGCGACAGACATACATACACACTCACTTACAAAACACTCTCATTGACAAACACAAACTCACTAACAGACATCAAACAGACTCACTAACACACACACACACACACTCAGTAACACACACACAGTAACACACTCACTAGCAGACACACACATTAACACTCACTCTAACACTCACACACACTAACACTCTAACACCAACACTCACACATGTTTTTTTTTTTTTATTTAATCCCCCCAGCCTCCTTACCTTTTGGAGTGCTGGGGGGATTCTCTGGGGTCCAGTGGTGCTGCTGGGCTGGCGGGCTGTCTGGCTGGTGCGCGAGGGAGCAATCTGCTCTGAGTGCTTCCTCTTCAGCTCCCTCGCGCGCCACGTAGGGATGCCGGCTCCGGTATCAGTGCGGTGCGCGAGGTAGCTGAAGAGGAAGCACTGAGTGCTCCCTCGCGCACCTGCCTGCCCGCCCGGCCTTCCGGTATCAGCAGGGCCAGCCTCGGGGGGCCCTGGGGTGGTCCTGGTACTGAAATGTACCTCTTTCAGAGTTCTCTCGTTAGAAATGATGCAGTTCATTGTATTGGTCATTTATTTATTTATTACAAAAAGCACAGCAGATTTTGCAAGCATTTTTTTATTAAAGAATTGAACAATCACTGTTTTGCCGAAATATGATGCTCAGTCTTCACTCCCGATACATGGCGAATATTAGCATTTTATTTCTTCTTGCCTTTCAGATCTCGCTTTACATTCTTTGCCATTTCTCCCACAAGCCTCCAAAATTCATTAAATTTCAGCTCGTCATCTTGGTTAATATCCAACTCCTTCATCTTCTCTTCCAGCGATATGTCCTAAAAGAGATTACAACACATTTACCCCTAATTTATAAACACACTGTTTGCCAGAACAGTCTTCAGTTGGACTGTCTGGCCGGTTCACATTTGGCTGTTGGAAACAAACTTTGACAAGTAGTAAAAAGATTTTTCAACTAACTTTCTTCCAATTCTCTTTTTCTTTATTAAGTTGTAGTCACGTGTCCCCTTAATTGTCCTTTTTAAACAGAATATTTTGCTAGAAAATCAGAGCTTATTGTTTTTTTTTTGCATTTTGTGATTAGTTTAATTTATCTAGTTTAACTTAAAGGGACACTATAGTCACCAAAACAACTATCTTAATAAAGCTGTTTTTGTGTACAGATTATGCCTCTGAAGTCTTACTTCTCAATTATCTGCCATTTTGGAGTTAAATCACGTTTGTTTCTATCTATGCAGCCCTAGCCACCTCCCCTGGCTGTGACTGAATATGAAACCATTTTGTTTTCATGCAGGTCTGTGTCAATCAGATGTAACTTGCTGTAGAAGTTTTTATCTCCTGCTCTGTAAATTAAACTTTAATTACGTACAGGAGGCTCCTGTAGGGTCTAGCAAGCTACTAACAGAGAAGGAGGTAATACATTCTAAATTAAACAGAATTTGCAATAAAGGAAGTGTAAACATTAGATGACTCTTTACAGGAAGTGTTTAGGAAGGCTGTGTAAGTCACATGCAGGGAGGTGTGACTAGGGCTGCATTAACAACCTAAATGGCAGTGAAATGAGCAGCAAGACTGAAGAAGCATGATCTGTACACCAAGACAGCTTCATTTAGCTAAACTTGTTTTTGTGACTATAGTGTCCTTTTAACTAGATTGACATCCCATGGATCCACTTATCTTTGAGCTCATGACTTCGTCGTAATAGCATGTAGTGTATAAATAATAAGAGCTTACCTTCATCATATGTGGAAGTTCCTTAGTAGCAAGATTAGTAAATTCAGTGAAGCTCAGTGTATCTTGCTTGCCTTCGGCTTTTGAGTGAGTAAAGAAGCAGTTTACTATGGTAAAAATAGCACGTTCCACCTCGGTCCCTGTAGCTGCCATCTCAATGCTAGAGAGGGGAAAGACAGTCAGCAGATGTGGATGAGAGTCATGGAGGGATTGTGTAATAATAGCCAGAGCCATGTGTCTATATATGATTGGAGACTTTGAACTAGGAAAGAGTCTTGCAGGATTATTAAAAGAAACATGAATTTGTCATTTTAACCCAAACAGCACAATTGGAAACATTCTCCAAGTTAACTATATTTTGGTTCTTTTTGCCTAAATTGTAAAAATTGACACTGAATTCCTAGCAAGTCCCACTTTAATGAATAAGCCTTAGAGACAGAATTGGGGAGCAATCCTGGGACTGGATATGGTCAGAGTAAGCTAGGGCTGACCGATCCATCATGATTTCGGCACACATAACATCTTCATGTTGATAAAAAATATATCCCTAACAGCCTTGGGCTGTACATGGCAATCCGCATTTCAAGTTCCTGTCTTGCTATCCTGTGTTTTTGCCTTGGTGCCCTTAAATTGTCTCAAGCAAACATCATCAGATAACCGTACACAGTGCATCCAATGTGAGCAGAGCTGAGAGAGGCTGGCTAAGGTAATAGCTGGTTATCATGGCGTAAATGCAAACCAGGCGTTTCAAGCTACTCAATCCACTTCAATAGCATTGCCACTTATAGACCTCCACAACCTTGCCCCAACTTAAAGTAACACTCTTAGCACCAAAGCAATTTCCGAGAAATGGCAGGTTTTACTTTTGGCTGAAAACACTCCTAGTGGTTGTCAGACAGCCATTGGAGGCTGTACATCCTTAAGGTTATTGACTTTCGATGGTCTTTACACATAGCAGCATCATGCACATTTACCACAAGCAATGGATTGGACGATAGCGGTGATCTCATTCTACAGCGCAACAGAATTTGCTGGCGCTATATAAATAATAAAATCATAATAATAATTGCTGCACATGCACCATAGGTCAACAATGCTTCTCTGTCAAAACTGATGATCTCATCAAGGGTGACTTGGCTGTTGTAAGGAGTGTGTTTTGTCGCTGGATTATGGGTACATTTAGTTACTTTCTACAATTTTAACATTAGAGCCCTTTTAGCACCTTTTAGAGTTGGGAGGTATAAAAAGTGCTGCCCTGTAGAATATAGCATTCACATGCTGCAGGATTAATAGTTTGATTTTAATTAAATTTTAAATACTGGAATGAGCCCTATGAAGTCCTATTAAAGTGTAAAAGTGATGTTGGTTTGTCCAGGAAAACATGGTGAATCTGGCAATCTAAAAAATCTGGAGACACCGGTTCTGAAAGTCAAACCCCAAAATACACTCATAGGTTCAGAGCATCATACATAGCAAGAGTCTGCCAGATTCACTTTGTCTTATGAACACACAGCAACTTCTACATATTGTAGGTCAGGACAGCACACTTGATACTTGATGCTTTGGACAGCAGAAAAAAAGAATACAATTAAATCAGGAAGGAAATTAAGGAGGATTCCCAAACGAACCTTCTTGATTAGATTAATGTATTATTTCCCTTTTGCAGTATATGAATGTTCCATACATTCCACATGTTGCTTGTCAACATGGAGTTGTTATTTTTGCCAAAAATTACCATTGGATCTGACAGACAAACCCCAAGTAAACACAGACCAAATTAGACAGCTACACTGTCAGATCCAGAGCATTATACACAGTAAGAGAAACACTCAGACTTAGAGACAGACAGAATTGAGATTTCCAGATAGTTACCCACAGTGATTACAGAAAGTCAGGGAGGATCACAGAGAGTCACTAACTCTGAGATAGCTACAAGTAGCCCAATATAAACAGATAGGAAGCAGGAAACCGGTAAGAATGTAACCAGACTACAAATGTAGGTGTGTGGGAGGCCAGGCATTATACTGCCACTATTGGTAATACAGAGCTAAACTGGCTGAGAGTTACTCTGGTGAAGTGAGGGTTAATAAAGAACTCTGGCTGTGAGCTAGTCTGCTATTGATAGCGTTAATAGAGTGATAACCTGGCCAAGTGTTAATCTGGTATTGATAGAGGTGTTATTATTATTATTAGTATTTATAAAGCGCCAACTAATTCCCCAGCGCTTTACAATATTATGAAAGAGGGGAAACTTTCATATAAAAGACAAATACACAGTGACACAGGAACAATAGGAGTTAATACATAGCTCAGTAGACAGAGGGTTAATCTGGGATTAATAGGGTTAATACATAGCTCAGTAGGCAAAGGGTTAATCTGAGATTGATAGGGTTAATACATAGCTCAGCAGGCAGAGGGTTAATCTGGGATTGATAGGGTTAATACAGTGCTCAGCAGGCTGCGTGTAATTCTGGGATTGATAGGGTTAATACAGTGCTCAGCAGGCTGTGTGTTAGTCTGGGATTGATAGGGTTAACACAGAGCTCAGCAGGCTGAGTTAGTCTGGGACTGATAGGGTTAATAGAGAGCTCAGCAGGCTGAGTTAGTCTGGGATTGATAGGGTTAATACAGAGCTCAGCAGGCAGAGTGTTAGTCAGGGATTGATCGGGTTAATGCAATGCTCAGCAGGCTGAGTGTTAGTCTGGGATTGATAGGGTTAATACAATGCTCAGCAGGCTGCGTTAGTCTGGGATTGATAGGGTTAATACAGAGTGCAGCAGGCGGAGTGTTAGTCAGGGATTGATAGGGTTAATACAATGCTCAGCCGGCTGTTAGTCAGGGATTGATAGGGTTAATACAGAGCTCAGCAGGCTGAGTGTTAGGGATTGATATAGTTAATACAGTGCTCAGCAGGCAGAGTGTTAGGGATTGATCGGGTTAATGCAATGCTCAGCAGGCTGAGTGTTAGTCTGGGATTGATAGGGTTAATACAATGCTCAGCAGGCTGAGTGTTAATCTGGGATTGATAGGGTTAATACAGTGCTCAGCAGGTTTAGTGTTAATCTGGGGTTTATAGGGTTAATACAATGCTCAGCAGGCTGTTAATCTGGGATTGATAGGGTTAATAGAGAGCTCAGAATGCTGAGTGTTAATCTGAGATTGATAGGGTTAATACAATGCTCAGCAGGCTGAGTGTTAATCTGGGATTGATAGGGTTAATACAGTGCTCAGCAGGCTTAGTGTTAATCTGGGGTTGATAGGGTTAATACAATGCTCAGCAGGCTGTTAATCTGGGATTTATAGGGTTAATAGAGAGCTCAGCATGCTGAGTGTTAATCTGAGATTGTTAGGGTTAATACAATGCTCAGCAGGCAGAGGGTTAATCTGGGATTGATAGGGTTAACACAGAGCGCAGCAGGTGGAGTGTTAGTCAGGGATTGATAGGGTTAATACAATGCTCAGCAGGCTGAGTGTTAGGGATTGATAGGGTTAACACAGAGCTCAGCAGGCTGTGTGTTAATCTGGGATTGATAGGGTTAATACAATGCTCAGCAGGCTGTTAATCTGGGATTTATAGGGTTAATAGAGAGCTCAGCATGCTGAGTGTTAATCTGAGATTGTTAGGGTTAATACAATGCTCAGCAGGCAGAGGGTTAATCTGGGACTGATAGGGTTAACACAGAGTGCAGCAGGCTGAGTGTTAGGGATTGATAGGGTTAACACAGAGCTCAGCAGGCTGTGTGTTAATCTGGGATTGATAGGGTTAATACAATGCTCAGCAGGCTGAGTGTTAGGGATTGATAGGGTTAATACAATGCTCAGCAGGCTGAGTTAGTATGGGATTGATAGGGTTAATACAGAGCTCAGCAGGCGGAGTGTTAATCTGGGATTGGTAGGGTTAATACAATGCTCAGCAGGCTGAGTTAGTATGGGATTGATAGGGTTAATACAGAGCTCAGCAGGCGGAGTGTTAGTCAGGGATTGATAGGGTTAATACAATGGTCAGCAGGCTGAGTGTTAGTCTGGGATTGATAGGGTTAATAGAGAGCTCAGCATGCTGAGTGTTAATCTGAGATTGATAGGGTTAATTCAGAGCTCAGCAGGCTGAGTGTTAATCTGGGATTGATAGGGTTAACACAGAGCTCAGCAGGCTGAGTTAGTCTGGGATTAATAGGGTTAATAGAGAGCTAATCAGGCTGAGTTAGTCTGGGATTGATAGGGTTAATACAGAGCTCAGCCGGCTGAGTTAGTCTGGGATTGATAGGGTTAATACAGAGCTCAGCAGGCTGAGTGTTAGGGATTGATAGGGTTAATGCAATGCTCAGCAGGCGGAGTGTTAGTCTGGGATTGATAGGGTTAATACAATGCTCAGCAGGCTGAGTTAGTCTGGGATTGATAGGGTTAATACAATGCTCAGCAGGCTGAGTTAGTATGGGATTGATAGGGTTAATACAGAGCTCAGCAGGCGGAGTGTTAATCTGGGATTGATAGGGTTAATACAATGCTCAGCAAGCTGAGTTAGTATGGGATTGATAGGGTTAATCCAGAACTCAGCAGGCGGAGATTTAGTCAGGGATTGATAGGGTTAATACAATGGTCAGCAGGCTGAGTGTTAGTCTGGGATTGATAGGGTTAAGACAGAGCTCAGCAGGCAGAGTGGTAGTCAGGTATTGATAGGGTTAATACAATGCTCAGCAGGCTGAGTGTTAGTCTGGGATTGATGGGGTTTCTGGAGAGGTCAGCTGGCTGATGGGCTGGTCTGCAAGTTAGAAAGTAATGGAAGGTTTAATACAGAGTTTAGCTTGCTAAAGGTTAGTCTGTTAAAGTGAGGGTTAAAAAAGAACTAATTGGGCTGAGGGCTAGTCTGGTAAAGAGAGGGTTAATAAAGAGCTAAGCAGGCTGAGGGTTAGTCTTAGAAATGGTTAAGAAAAAACTTAGCTTATTTAATGGTTAGTCTGGTAAAGAGAGTGTTAATAAAAAGCCTAAGGTTAATCGGATAAAGAGAGGGGTATTAAAGAACTCCGCAGGCTGAGGGTTAATAAAGAGCTCAGCAGGCTGATGGTTATTCTAATAAAGAGAGGGTTAATAAAGAACTCAGAATGCTGAGGGCTATTCTAGTAAATAGAGGAGTAATAAACAGCTTAGCGGGCTAAGGATTAGTCTGCTAATAAGAAGGCAATGAGTGGGTTAATAACGAGGCAGCTGGCTGGATGTCGCTTGGGGTGACAGATGTCCAGCGTACATTGTGTTACCAGATTCGTGGATCGTCTCGTCTTGAAAAGGCTGCTGCACACTGGCTGATTACTCATTGCAGCCCAGCTATAAAGCCTAGGTCTGTGCCTGTCCTTCCACACCCATTGGGCCTGGCACCCAAACAGCTCCTCCATTATATCAGTGGCACTGACTGTGAGTCAGTATACCTAACTTATCCTGTGGTCATACTGCTCTCCTGCTAGGGGAGCCCCATAGACTTGGTGACTGCATGATCTGTAAACCAGCATAGTCTGTCACACACACACACAAACACACACCGCCCCAGGAGGAAGATTAATCCACTAACCCGCTACTCATTATGCAATTTAATGTTTTCTAACAGAGCAATATATATGTCTGGAGCCCTTTTGCCTGGCCGTGACCTTGTATTACTGTCTTTGTACAATGTTTGATACCATTATCGGCGGATTTATAACAGGACAGGCTCTTGTAACCTGTAAGGAAGGTAAATTGTGCTATGCACTGCAGAGCTGCAGTCCTGTTTGTTTCCCAGACACGCATCGTTTCTGGACATATTAATGTTGCAAGCGTGCGCTGCACTGAAACCATCAGTCTCAGGGGTTTGTGCATGCAGCAATGGACACTCAGAGTCCTGCAACGACACCTGGCTAACTCCAACCGAGCCTCTTTGAAAATTCGGCCATTCCCCCCAGTGCGTTGTATGCTAGCCCAAATCTGTGGTATAAATTTCTCTAATAAGCTCCAAATGATATGATGTCCAGGTGCCCTTGTAGATGAAGACCAGTTGGGCCCTTTCAGTATTCATGTATATGGCAGTATAAGTATAAACCCCAACACTCAGAGTCAGAACTTAGGACAGACCTAGTAAGGCGTATTACCGCCCTAAAGGTTGGCTGAGCCTAATGCAGTAAAGAAAGGCAGAAAATTATGTAGTATATGCCAAGCACACACGCATGTATGGCATTTCTCCAGATATCAGTATGCTTGCTCCCAATGCATCATAGGACAGTAAATTACCACAACATGGAAGTGTGGTGGAGAGTAATACTTGTCTGCTGCATTTACTTCGAGTAAAGGAACAAGGAACGGTCCCTTCAATGGACTGACAATTCCGCTTTAATTAATTCTTACATCTGAAGTTAGTATGAAAATGTGGGTACCCACGCAGTTTCCATGAGTACTCAGTGATTTAAAAAGGATAGACTTGTGCACAAACCCCTTTCAGCTGCGTCGATCGAATCAAACGCCCGTTGATCTATGACGAACAAATCGATTAATTTGAGATTGACTAATGAATCGATTTGTTCGTCATAGCTTGACATTCACTTGATTTGATTAGTCCATCCCAAATTAACTGATTTGTTCGTCATAAATTAACAGGCACTTGATTTGTTCGGCTCAGTTGAAAGGGATTTGTGAACAAGTCTTGAAAAGGGACATTATTTTTTATCATACTATCTGTCAATTACTCACAATAAATCGTTTATTGAAACAGTAATATCTTCCCATTATAACGGAGAGCTTTTTAACACTGGGATTACTTGTTAGCGATATGGTTAGTGGAACCTGGTACCAGGAAGTCCCTTGGTTTTGGTCAAACCGTGCAAAAATGGTTTGATCCAGAAACAGTGGACAGTTTGTGCAGAACTTTAGTACCATAACCAATACAACAATCTTTAGCAACTATGGTGCTTATATTGTCTCTTTATCAAAATCTGTCTGTAGTTGGGGGAAAAGCCGTTTATCCATATCTAATGACTTAACATAATGTTGCGTATTAGTATTGGGGTAATATATATAAATGAATGAGATATCAGAGAAAACCTGGGGGTTTGTACCTAAGTTTGGGGTTCAGACAGAACATGCTATGTTACTCTGCACAAAGAAAGCAATGTTGCTTGGATTCTTCATCTGCTGAAAACAGGATGTTTGGAAGATTTCCGAGAGAGGAGGATCTGGGGTATAAAGTGTGGTTTCTTGTAACTCTTGAGGAAGAAAATATGAGTCATTCCTGGGATTTTCCAAGAGACATACAAATCTGTGCTCTAATGCAAAAACAAAACAACCCAGCAGAGGGCAGCACATATCTCTTTATAATCCATCCCAATTTGTACAGAAGGGTCAGGGAAAGACTTAAAGGGCCCATTGAAGTAGTGTGGGTGCCAACTCCCATCACCCTTAAAGCATCACTGTCATGGCCGAATCCCGTTTTTTGTTTTTTTTTATCCCCCCTCCCAAATCCACTACATCTAATTGTCCCCCTTGTCACACCTAAATGCCCCATATTACCTATTTTTGCATTATTATTTTGTGCCCGGACCTAGGTTCTGGGCGCTGCCATCTTTGTGTGGGTAGATGAAGTCCCTGTGGGGCGCGTCATCTGCCCACACTAGATAGCACTGTGAGATTCCGCACATGCCCAGTTAAACACTTGGGCATGTGAACGGTAATTTCATCTATTCATTCGTCAGAAAGACAAATAAATGAATAGAAATTTCAAACGAATGAACAAAGACCTCTTCTTTCATTCGTTTGGTTTATTACAAGGAGGGAGCTACCAGCTTGCAGCTCCCTCCTTGTAAAATGTAAAAATAGTAGCGGCAGAGAGCAGTGCTCCCCGCCACTTCCTAAGCTACCCCCCCATGTCCTCCCTCACTCTATTGGGGTCGATATGACCCCCATAATAGCATAAGGGAGATTAAAATCTCCTGAATGCCTCTACTTGCTATGCCGCGAGTAGGGGCATGTATACTAAACAGTAATCAGCCAGTGGCTGCTCACTGTTGTAAAAAAGAAAAAAGCCCCCCCCCCCCCCTAACAAATGCCCCATGGTGTGGCATCTATTAACTAGCAGAGGAGACATAGTGTCCCCCTAAGCCCCCACTAATGCCCCGCGAGTGGGGGCTATAAAAGTAAATGGGGGGGGTGGGTGGACCTAGTGTCCTTCCCCCAGCCCCCACCCCTGAACGGCAGGTGGGGGCCCTAAATTACAAAAAGGGGGGACGGACCTATTGTCCTTCACCCCGGCCTCCACCCATGAGCGGCGGGTGGGGGCCCTAAATGAAAATGGGGGGTGGACCTAGTGTCGTCGTCCCTGGCCCCCACCCCTAAGTGGCGGGTGGGGTGCCTAAATAACAATAAGTTGCCTGTCAGTCTCTATATCTACCTGTCAGACCACTCTGATTGGTTGGCTTTAACCAACCAATCAGAGTGCTCTGAGCCTAATTGCAGGTCGTGGGAAGGCTTTATAAGACTTTCCCCGCCCTGCGGAGCTCAGTCTGCGCCCTGCCTAGCGTCAGGGTTTTTTTTCCTATGGATTTTTTTTTTGCGCTCAGGTGTTTTATTTTATTTTCAAAGTTCGAAGGGTATTATGGATTTTTATTTGGCCTTTTTGGGGGCTGAAAAAAGATTTTAGAAAAAAGAAGACATCAAACGGTAAGTTTTTTTTATTTACAGGGATTTAGTTTTATTGTTACCCCCTCACTATTTTTAGGGTGAGGAGGGTAGGTAGGTCTTTATTAAAAAAAAAATTGGGTGGGGGGGACTAGGGGCTTGGGGATCCCTAGTCACCTGGGGGGGTGTTTACACTTAGCCCCCACCCGTCGCCCATGGGTGGGGGCAGGGGGTGAGGACAATAGGCCCCCCTCCCACATTTTCATTTGGGGCCCCCACCCGCCGCTCATTGGTGGGGGCCGGGGGAAGGACAATAGGTGGCATTGTATCCTGACTCCCCTTATTGTAATTTAGGGCCCCCACCCGCTGCCATTTAGGGGTGGGGGCCAGGAGGAAGGACAATAGGGGTCCCCCCTTCCCCCTTATTGTTATTTAGGGGGGATTTACACTTAGCCCCCACCCGTCGCCCATGGGTGGGGGCAAGGGGGGAGGGCAATAGGTCTCCCTCCGCCATTTTCATTTAGGGCACCCACCCGCCGCTCAGGGGTGGGGGCCATAGGGGCAATAGCTCCCCCGTTCAGTTTAAGAGCCCCCACTCGCATGGCACGTGTGGCAGCTCGGGGGGTGGGGGGATACTAGGTTTTTTGTTTTGTTTTTTGACATTCTTTATTTATTTATTTGTTAATTTGACAATCTGTCAGCACAATACAACTTTGAACATATTTGGGTGTGTATCCCTGAAACATGGAAACATTGAATTATCAGCATTAGTGCATGTTCAGCTTTACCACTGTCGTGGTGGAAGTGTGTCGGTGTGGCGGACAGATACAGCTGCGCTTCGTTGGGGGCTACTGCCAGTGGCTTTCGGCTTAGCTGTCACTTTAGTAGCTTCTATTGTAAGCATGCGGTGTGTGGTATCCGTCGTACCCTTATTGGCTTGCCTTATGAACTGGGTTGTGTCTGTATACCCTAATATTGATATTCTTTCTTTGCATCTAATGTGTTTATGTGTGCGGTTTTCATAGTAGCTAAGGAGTGTCACCCGTCCGTTCGGATGTCTGGCTTGGTCACAGTGGGTCATTCGGCTAGTGCCGCTAGTGTGTTCTGTTGTGTAGATCTTTGTCTAATAGGTGTGTTGTGCGTAGCTCAAGAAGTGGTGGTTGCCTTGGTCAGGTCCTGTGCTGCTTGTTGTGTCCTAAGTCCTGCGTGTAGCTTGTTCTGGCTATTGTAGGCCGTTCCGGGTGATGACTAGCTTGAGGAATCTGGAGGAAATAGCTTCCTCAAGGGGCATGTGTGTCTCATGTCGGGTACTTAGGCTTGTCACGTCTCCTGGTATTGGTGCCACATTCTATCCTTTATGTTTTCCCTGTTATTTCTTGACCTTTCGCTGTCGTTCGCCCTCCCTCCCATTTTGCTCTCCGTCTGTCCTACGTGTTGTGTATTGATATAGTTTGGCGTGGGTGCCTACGAGAGTCATGTCATCGCGGTTTGTCTACGGTCTTGGAAGTGGGGTGGGGGGGAGTTAATCAGTTTTATGTGTGTGGGGGGGGTCATATGCAACTGGTCTTTACTGTAGCTATGCGTCAGTCAATCGGGGTCGTGCCGGTGCGGGGGAGCCCCTGCTTCCAGCCTGGGCGTCCCTTGTGGCTCCATTTGCTGTATATTCCATCCATGGGAACCAAGTCAGGGCACATTTGTCCGAGTGTCCCTGCAGGGAGGCTGACATCATTTCCACTCTTTCCACCCATTGTTGTTGGGTGGGTGTTACTGGGCTTTTCCATAGCGTTGGAATGAGCGATTTTGCTGCTGTGAGCAGGTGTATGATGAGGCCCTTTTTATAGGCTTTCGCGGGTGTGCTTGTGTGGTTCAGCAGTAGCGGCAGTGGTTGAAGGGGGATGTCTGTCCCTGTGATGTCCTTGATCGTCCGGTGTATCATTCGCCAGTATGGTTCAATGTGGGGGCAAGACCACCAGATGTGGATAACAGAGCTTTCTTCAGCGCCGCACCTCTGGGATTGACTCGTGGACGTGTCGGAGGATATCTGGGGTTCTATACCAGCGTGTCAATATTTTGTAATTGCATTCTTGGAACTTTGAGCTTATGGTCCCTTTATGTGTCAGTTGGAAGATTTTTCGACCCCCGTCTCCCTTTCCCAGCGTTCCGTGAAGCCTAAGGGGCACTTGTCTCCGCTGCTCTGTAATGTGGAATATGGATGCGATACTCCGTGCATAAGGTGCTGTCTGGCCGCACATAGTTGTTCTAGGTAGAACAGTGGGCGATGTAGGTGGTCCTTGCCTGTTATCGTGGTGACGTAAGTTTTTAGTTGGTGGTCTGTGGTCTTGTAGCAACACGGCCAGGGGCTTGAGTGCCGGTCCGCTGCACCACTGGTGCAGATGGACCCAGTCCGTTGCCTCGAAGTTCTTTAGGTCGGCCGGGGAGAGCCCCCGTGCTAGTTTCGGGTTATTGGTTACGGGTGTGAGCGGGTTTGGCGAGGACGTAAGCCTTTTGGAATAGCGTATACTACACCAGACCCTCAATGTGGCGTCTATCATCGGGTTGCCTGTTCTCAATTCCTGGAACGTTGCTCCCCCCAGCCACAACAGGGCGGGTATTTTTCCTCCCTGGGCTAGATGTTTTTCCATATCTACCCATTGCTTCCCGCTTGGGTTAGCGTGCCAGTCGACCAGCCGGTGCAGGTGCGTAGCCTGGTAGTACATGATGACTGACGGCAGTCCCATGCCTTCCTCACTCCTTGGGCGTTCCAGGATCATTTTCCATATGCGCGCAGGTTTCTGATTCCACACGAACTGCCTGATGGTTGTCGTTAGTGACTGAAAGAACGTCCGCGGGATACTTGATGGTAACGTCTGGAACAAATATAGTATTCGGGGCATAACATTCATTTTAATGGCAATAATACGGCCAAACCATGATATATATTGGGAAATCCAACGCTTTATGTCTTGCTGCAAGTTTGCGAGTAGGGGTGCAAAATTCATTTGGTAGGCTTGTGCTAGGTCTTTCGGGAGCCATATCCCAAGGTAATGCAGTTTGGTCATGCATATCCTGAAGGGGAAGTGTGTTCAGATGTGTCCCTGGAGGGCTGCGTCTCGCGTGAGTGGCATTAACTCGGATTTGTCCAGGTTGAGTTTCAGGTTGGAAACCTCGTTGTATTGTCGGAATGCCTCTAGAAGGTTCGGTATGGATATTCTCGGTTGTTCCAGGAAAAAGAGCATGTCATCGGTGTAAGCCGCCACGCGGTGCTCTCTCTCACCCACGTGACACCCAGTAACACCCCCGTCCCGTCTGACCGCCTCCAGGAAGGGTTCCAGGGTGAGGGCAAACAGGAGTGGGGACAGGGGGCAGCCCTGGCGCGTGCCTTTGCAGATGTTGAACGAACTAGTGAGTGCTCCATTTACCCGTATGCGTGCAGTTGGTGTGGTATAGAGTGCAGCCACCCAGGTCCGCAGGTGTGGCCCGTATCCCATATGTCTCAGGGTCTCCAACATGAAGGTCCAGTCTACCCTATCGAACGCCTTTTTGGCGTCGGTGGATAGCAGCACCATATCCCATTTATGGTGCTACATGGATGGAGTTGAGGAACCGTATGGTATTATCTCGGGCTTCTCTTCCAGGTATGAATCCGACCTGGTCTGGGTGAATGAGGTCTGGGAGTGTCCTGGCCATCCTGAGTGCTAATGCTTTAGCGAAAAGTTTTAGATCCGCGTTTAACAGCGAGATTGGCCGATAGCAGGCACAGTTCGTTGGGTCTTTGCCTTCTTTTGGTATGATCGTGACTGTCGCCCTTAGGGTGTCTTTGTGATATTGGCCTCCTTCCCGTATAGAGTTGATGCCCGATAAAAGTCGGAGTAGGAGAATGTCCTTGAAGGTGCGTAGGTAGGAGGCGGGCAGACCGTCTGTGCCCTGTGTGCTTTGGTAGATTTCAGTGCACCTGACAGCTCCTCGATTGTTATAGGTAGTTCCAGGTCTGCTTTCTGTTCTTGGGTAAGCTTACAGGTGACATGGCTTTGTAGATAGGCGGCGATCCGTTCCTGGTGGTGTCTTCCCTCCGATTCCGTCCGGCGTTGTGTCTGGTCATTTAACGCCGCATAGTAGTCTTGGAATGCTGTCAGTATTCCATTCAGGAGTCGTGTGATGTCTCCCTTGCCTGTGCGTATTTTGTGAACATGTTGCGTCCCCTTCGTTTCTCTTTGCCAGTAGTCTGCCACTTTTATTTGAGTGTTCATAGTAGTATCTAGATGCCTTCCTCGCGGTGTGTAGCAGCCCCTGTGATAATATGGTTTTCAATTCCCTATTTGCCTCTGTTAGTCTAAGATATGTGTCTTCGTCTAGATTCTGCTTGTGTGTCTCCTCTAATTTAGCGATTCGTTTTGTCAGGCTCGAAATGTGGGCTGTTCTGTCTTTTTTGCGCCTGGTACTCACTGCGATGAAGTGGCCCCTGATGATGCATTTATGTGCCTCCCAGAGCGTTTGGGGGGGTCGTGTCTGGGTTGTCATTGGTTGTGAAATAGTCGTTCAGGGGATACTAGTTTTTTTTTGCACAGGTTGCTCACTGTTTACTAGACATGCCCCTACTCACGATATAGGGGCAGAATTTACTAATACTAAGTAATTTTTACCTATTGGTAGATAGCTCCCTAATACCGTGTGAATTAGGGAGTTATCTACTAAGCAGCTGCAAGATGCAGCCGCGGCACCAATCGGATCGGAGTTTCATTCATTCGAATGAATCCCTTTAACACTCACAGGGTAATTCACTGGATTTTGTTTGGATAGACCAAATCTGGTGATTTTGACCTCAGTGGCAATTCTAGAAATATTAACAAAAGCAAAATATGTTCGAAAATCAGACAGCCTGAGCAAATCTGCATCAACTGTCCATATGCATTCGGTGTACGGTTTAGTACGGTGCAGACAGTCACTAGAAGCGCTTCCTGTTCATGGAGTTTTACACTGTGCATAAGGACATCCAGAAGCTTGAAAATCCCTGCAGAAAAGCATTGAGTCAGTGCTTTGCTACGGGGAAGGTCTAATGTGCTCGCGGCACACGAGCATTAGTTTCCCCTTTGCGATGACGTTGAAGGAAGTGGAGACGGAGCCAGCCCTGAGCGACTTTGGCATTAGAATCAGGTTTTAACCATTTGTGTGCCACAGGAGTACCATGGGGGCCAAGGCCGGCCCAAGACTATGTGCTGCCTGGGTCCAAGGATGAAATGTCGACCCTTCTTCCCCCCCCCCCGACATCACAACCACGCCACTACAACCACGTTACCAGAACACACCAACATCCATTATGTTAAATCATGATAATTAAAACTAAAATGAAACTTATCACAATCATGATTAGATCAATACAGAATGTCCCTGTCAGGCATTGTTTGGGGATTTTGTGACTTTTGTGTTTCAGTCAAGTTGTTAATAAAGAATACAAAACAAAACCCCACAAATAGGGTTTCAGCTGTTAATAAAGTGTTGCATTTCTCTCTGATATTATTACAAGCGTGATGTGTGTAAATATGAGTGTAGTGGAAGTGTGGGCTAATTTTGAGTATTAATAGGCATCTTAGGTGCCGTGCTGGAGGGACAGCATTTATGTCTCTGCGATTTTAAATTTGTAGTGTGTTTGTTTCTGTAGTGTCAGTGTTTATGTGGAGCAGATTCCACCACTGCGTGTATAGGGGACATTGTGTAAGGAATATATTGTGTGTGTTAGAGATGTAGAATGCGATGAGGGATGTAGTGTGTGTAGTGTAGGGAATGTATTGTATGTGTGTGTGTGTGTGCTGGTGATGCTGTATGTCTAGGGGATGCAGTGCCTAAATGCTTTTGGATGCAGTGCGTGTGTACTGGGAATGTAATTTGTATGTGTATTTGCTGGAGATGCAGTGTGTGTATGCCTGAGTGCAGTGTGTCTGTGTGTGTGCTGGGAGGCAGTGTCTGTGTGTGTTGGGGATGAAGTGTGTATCTGTGTGTGTGCTGGGGGTGAAATTTGTGTCTGTGTATGTACGCCCCTGTGAGATTGCCGGCTGGAGCCATAGTCCCACCAGGACCTATGGACCGGCCAGCCCTGATGGGGGCAGAGGGACACTATAGTGTTAGGAATACAGCATTATAGGATACAGAATATTCAGAAAGCCCCGGTTTTACTAAATTTCAGGGTTGGGTTCATTGGTTATCGTTCACTTGCTTTAATGCAATTTCAATATTATTGATTAGCATGAACAGGGTCCGACTTATGCAGTCCAAATGTCCCCATATGCAGTCGGATGGTTACACTCATTGACACACATTTACTGACAGACAAACACACACTCACAAATTATTTTTTTGATTTACCTTTGGGAGAGCTGAAGTGGATCCTTTCCCTGAGGTTCAGTGGAGCTGCTACGATCCTTCTTGCTCTGCTCCCTCGTTTGCTGTTTTGTTTAGTAATGCTGGGGCCGGAGTGGCATTGTATCCTGACTCCCGGCATCACCTCAAGACACGCAAGGGAGCAGAGCAAGAAAAGCTTAAAGATTGCAGCTTCCTCTCCGCGTCCGTTACTCACAGCTGCCCGCTTCGGAGTTGTAAGGTGACTAATTCTTGGACACCCAATGGCAGGTGGAACCCAGGCACTTGAGACCTGAGCGTCCCCTGTAGTTCTACCACTGCACCGGCAGGCATTGGTGTAGTGTTGAACAGGCTGACAAACGCCCAGGAGTCAGGACAAACTTCCTAGCTGCCATGGCTACCTGGGAGTTGTCAAGCCCTGGATTAGAAGATGTTTAGTTTTAGTGAATTGAAACTGACTTTTTCTTTCTGTGTGTGTGTTAAATTGTTTATTAATGGGAAAAGAGGTGAGCGATGTCCATCGATTTTGTACTTGTGTAGATAAACTTAAGTATTTCATAGTCAGAAACTAGTAATGTTATTGTATAATAATTGATATCAGAAGGCGGTGCTCAGGGCTTCTATTGCCAGACGTAAAAACGCACGCTTTAAGTCTAATACACAATAACTAGTGTAAGGGTAAGCATTTTTAAAAGAACACTACAATCGCCATAACCACTAAGCTCTCTGTAGTGGATATGGTTCTAGGAGTGACCTGGCATCTCCCATTAGACGTAGTGCAAACAGTTGCACATATTGATTTATTACCTGTGATCCCCTCCTCCAATACTAAGTTTCTGCAGTGCAGGGCTTAGCTCATTGGCTGAGAACGATCGGGAACATCCAGCCCCGCAGTGTTAGTAGCGGAGGCAGTTAGTAGCACCTGGCTGACACCAGGTAGGAAGTCAAACAATTAGAAAAAAAAATGTTTAACTATCTTCAATAAAGGTGGTGGTGCATGCCGTTATCCTCTCTTGCCTTGACTACTGCAGTCTGCTTCTCTTACGTGTTCCCAACTTGCCCCCATTACAGTCTACAATGAATCCTGCAGCGAGGCTGATGCCTCACCCCTCTGTCAGTCCCTACATTGACTTCCTCTAAGATATAGGGCTCGTTTTAAAATTCTGGTACTTGCTTACAAATCTCCTACCTACCTATTCTCCCTAATACACACGTATGTCCCGTATAGGCCCCTATGCTCTGGCAAAAACCTGCTTCTATCCTCTGTACACTCACCTCTACTGCTCACCTCCAAGACTTCTCTAGGGCTGCACATTTTCTGTGGAATTCCTTTTCCTGCTCTGGTAGCCTCTCACCCAGTTTCCATTCCTTAAAAAAAAAAGAAAATCTGTGAAAACCCACTTCTTCAATAAAGCATATAAATTAAACTGTTAATAGCTTTTCCTGCCCGTACCTTGCTTCCTCTCCTGCAACTGTCATAAACAAAAACAAAAAAAACAACAAACCAAGAAGCCCCCAGTGAGGATGAATCTAGCAACCCCTTTTTCTTTCCCTACACTTAACATGTTGTGTTACTCCCTCTAGCATATTTGCTCTGTTCCTGTGCATCTAAATCATCTGGTTACAAATACTTGTCTATTAGTCCATCCATTGTACAATGCTGCAGAATATGTTGTCGATTTATAAATATTATTATTAATAACAATAATAATCCTTCTCTGCTTCTGGTGGCTTTACTATCTAATCAAGATAAGGCTGGCTTTGCAATCTACGGACAGGATTGTAGACTGGAATTAGAAATATGAATACAGAGTTTAAGCGTGTAACCCAAATAGATACCAAATCACTCAAAAAACACCTGTGTGGTAACCTCTCTATCCACACAGCAAATAACATAAAACCATATACATACAATGGGTGGAATGATTCGGTTCTGGGTAAAAGATGATAATATGGAGGCAAGTGGAGTAACTGTGAAGATAAAAATGGTATACAAGCACCTAGTGCAATATCATACAGTATAACAGTATATAAACATAAGATGTACGATTCAGTACTCACAAGGAGAGAGCCAATAGGTAATGGCTCAATCAGAACGCCTGTGGGATAATTTGGAGGGATCCCACTCCCTTTTAAAGATACAGGTGGTCCTTTGCTGGTCCCAAAAGAATGTCCACACCAATGAAGTATTGGGGACTGAATTCCTTTTAATAATGAGAAAATAAAATACAAATATACATAAATATATAGTTAAAAATCTAAACAAAGGGGGGCGGAGCCAGCGCCTGAATGAGCAAGTCGCACTCCACGACAGCTCCTAACGTGAGATCCAAAAGAAAGGACAAAACCGCTACAAAATTAGCCTCTGGGATCCGACAATCTGATCCACAGAGTGCCCTACACTATGGGGGAAAAAACAAAGAAGGGCAGAACAGATCCTGGCTCGGGGTCAAAAGATATTGGCACTTTTATGCGGCCGTCTCAGCGGCAAGAACCCGGCAAGATGGCACCGATGGAGGCCTATACTCCACAATCATCAGACGAAGATAGCGTCTCTGACTCTTTTCATGCCCCCAACAAGGTACACACCACATTTCAGCAGCCTAAAGATCTAGGCGACGCAGCACCCGCCACAAAAGCTGATATAAAAGCACTAACGCTGAACATCAAGGCGATGTTCGACACTGATATGGCGCTGGTCCATGGGGAAATCTCCACGCTTACAGGCCGCGTGGTCTCCATTGAGGAATCCCTCGGGAATACAAGGATGGCACAGGCGGCTGCAGACACAGCTCTGGGACTCTTACAAAAGCAATATGCAACGCTGACAGCACAGTTGGCGGGAATGGAGGACAAAACTAAAGCTAGAAACCTACGGATCAGGGGAGTGCCCGAATCGGTCGTGAACCAGGAGCTGCCACACTATTGCAGGAGGCTACTAGCAACCTTATTGATCCCCAAGCAAGCAAAGCAAGTAGGGATTGACTCCTGCTTTCGCATCCCCAAAGCACCTAAAGCTCCCCAGGAGGCACCAAGGGATGTGCTGATTAAATTTGTCAGGGATTCTGATCGGGGGGCCCTCATGGGAGCTACGAGAGGCTCTCCCACGGTCGCATTTGAGGGAGAAAGCCTGACTTTCTATAGAGACCTGTCACGACATACACTTACCTGGCGCAGATCCCTCCGCCACATCACCTCGCTGCTGAGGGAACATGCTATCCCCTATAAATGGGGACCTCACCGCTTAACAACGGAACACGCTGGCAAAACGGTCCACCTGACACACAGATCCGAAGCATCCACGTTTCTCCAGTCCCTGGGACTCCCACTACCGGCCGCAGCAACAGGATCCAGCCCCGCATGGAACGTCGACGAAATAACCCCATTTGTACCCAGAGAAGCAACGCTGAGGGCAACAGACTCACCAACACAAGATAAGCGATCGTAAACGCAAGTGCACCTTCAACCTGTCACAGGTGCCCTGATACGGGACTATACACGGGACAATGCATGTAGACCACACTTGCCGGGACTTCACTCTCATTTTATAGGCAATGTGGATTATTAAGTTTAATTAAGTTTAGTTGTTGTTTTTACACATTTCCAGTTCTCAGTTCCTAAATGTCTCAGGGTGCCAGACACACTAATGATACTGGCTCTGCAAGCAGATAACCAGTGATGTTGGCTAAGCAGATCTACCCCCCCACCCCCTTAAGCCCGTGCAGGGTACCCATAGGCTCCCGACTACAGGAGCAACGATATACCACACATCAAGCCTGATACACTGGGGCCCGCACCAAACCATTGACAGGCCAATGGCCAACAAACCCGCACTCCCCACACCTCCCACACACGCGCGTAGGCTAGGTCCACAGCCCCAATGCCTCTGAGCAGGGCGCATAACGCTATTTACCGGCCCCCTCCAAGGTACTACATGTTTCCAATGTTTCCACGGCTTCCAGCACGAGGGAGTAAAGCAGAGATTACCCTAAAAAAAACAAAAAACGGGTGGCATAGCACCTGTGCAATATTGTCTATGTTATATGCTGATTATTTGGAATGTATTTAATACATGTTATCCTTTATGCACATGTTGTAAACTGCATTTAATACTTGCATACCCACAAAAATAAAGAATTCAAAAAAAAAAAAAAAAAATCTAAACAAAGACTTGGTAATTAGGATTGTAGACTGTTCTAAAACCTATATAGTCTGGTGAGGATAGATCGTGCTCCAAGGAAGTGAGGATAGATCGAGCTCTAAATAGCATGCAATCTACAAGCATCAAGCAACGCTCTAATAGACTATTGTAATATGCTCACATTTTACTGGAACTAAGATGGATTTGATCCCAAACAGCTGACTGGATGAGTGGTGTCATGCTAAAACCTTTCATCTCTTATGTATGCCTTGATAAAAGTCATAATTTGGTAAACTGGGGTTCATTGAGAATCTGCCATAGGTAGGTGAATGTGTCAGTAGCTACAAAATTGACAGGTCACATACAGAACAGCCCAGCATTTCTGAAGATAGAGCTTTGATACCCGATACAGACTTAATTAACAATGGCCGAAAGGATCCATTTCAGAGACAAAAGATGGGGCAAGACAGCTGGATATCAGGGTTGTAAATTACTATATCTGAGACTCAAGCTAGTTCTTTAGCTAAACAATTATCTGGGGCATCAATGTTAGAGCACTAATGCAGGGGACAATCTTTTTCTTAGTAAATCCAATGTCTCCCCCCTCCCTTAATAAGAGAACCTACATCACACCATGAGGTTTTTGTACAGGCAGAATACTGACAATGGTGAAGTTGTAAACATGATACGAAATTCTAATCGAACAATGAGATATTTCAAATGTTCATATGATGTAAATATGAATACATACATAGATTGTGTTATGATATTCCTCACCTATACTGGAATTCAGACTGATTTCACACACAAAATAAAATATGTAAATCTCCTACAATTTATTAATTGACATACTACAGGATCAATCAGCTATGGTATTTCCAATCTTTTTGGGTTTTTGGCCTGCCTCCGCCAAAATGTAAACAAAAATGTAGGGTGGGGGCGAGCTTGAGAAAGTGCAGTCGCCATCTTCATCAGCTCTGGTGGAAATTGCCAAATCCTCTGAAAATAAGGGGCTCTCCTGCCCATCCAGTTGGGATTGAACTTATGCTCACCTCTGCATGCTGTTCTTTCTCAATTCCAATTCGAAACGGCAGAAACTCTGTACCATCTACCTTGAATAAGCTATTTGGCCCCATCTCGCCACTTGGAGTACCAGAGCCAGAACCCGATTCTTGCTCCTCTAATCCTGACTTTGGGGAGACAGTCCCAAATATCACTGCCAGGCATGCCGGACAAGAGCCATTGGGGCCCTCCTCCAGTCACAAGCTCAGCCTAAGATGGAGGCTCTGGAATGGCGAGAGGCCTCAGAGGTGCCACAGAGCATTTTTCATCTATGTATTTCTTATATCTCTACTTGATAGACAAAGTTACTCTAACTAATGTTGTCTCACGTGGTCTGGGACGGATTCATGGGGCTCGCCTTTTGATGCCTAGCTCTGGTTCTGCTCACCATAATTGGTGTACAGCCTCACACCATTTCATTTCATGGCAGACTTTTAACCTTACTCTGTTGCTTATGCCTGGGAAAACTTTAAAGCTTGGGGCACTCGTTCAAGCTTGATATTTTATTTAATTTTATTTCTTTACAGTTTTATAACGGTTCCTTATCACATCATAATTATATGTTTCTTCTTAATACTTTGTGTCTACCACACATCCACTAACAATCGCCCTCTAACCAACTTACCTGGTAACGGTTACTTGCACCAGCCTGTAATTATTCCACATATGATGACATATTATGCATTGATTCTCAGCATAGTATTTTGTGTGCTCACGTATATGATTATTTTGTTTACATGTCACATATATGATGCTTGTTTACATGTCATGTATTCTTTCCACTCAATAAAAAAATTGATTAATAAAAAATGTAAAGGGGGGGCGGAGCCAACTGCCGAGCTGATCAGACGCCATTTCTGACAGCTCCGACATCTAAGCTAATATCTCGCCTAAATCTTGAAAATCAAGCCTGATCCCACCACCCCAAACACATACACCGACTTGGGAATCCACACTGCATCGATAGATGCCCTTCTTTGTGAAAACAAAGACGCCAAAGCAAAAGCGCAAGCCCGGGGCCTACTCCAAGCACACACTGCCTATCCTGGCGGCGCTCTACGGTGGAGCCTATCAAGGCCCTACAAGCATCCCTGGCATCGGATCCCCTTTCAACTCGGGAGACTTCATGCCCGCCATGGGGCGACGTTCCCAGAAAGCTGGAACCCAGATAGAAGGTAGAGAGATCGGGGCCATGCTTCAGCGGCCTGCTAGGCCCAAACAGGCCTCAGAGGAAAATCAGCCTAGTCCTACCCAAATAGCTCAAGCTGAACTAACAGAGAGAAATAACCTCTATACAGCACCACCAGCACCCCAGGAGGGATCGCCACCAGCGACTAAACATAACCTACAAATCCTCCTACATGACTTTCACAAAATCCTGTCGCAAGAACTAGCAGGAATAAAAGCGGAGTTACAAAGCACAAAGGATCAGGTACAGGCCACAGAGGCTGATATGGCCGAAGTTACCACTAACCTAACAAAAGTGCAAGATTCGGTACACCAGCACCAAAAATCCCACCACAATATGGCCTTACACCTGAACGCCCTCGAGAACAGCCATAGACGCAGGCACGCTGCAGGGATCACCACAGACGAGCTGCCGCATTACACGAGACGGCTACTGGCAACAATTTTACCTCCAGCGGCGGCAAGAGAAATGGTGATCGATGGAATATACCGTGTCGCGGGCCCCGCAAGAGCTGCCTCACAAACAGCTCGGGATGTTATACTTCGCTGTGCATCTTCCTCTGACAAGGGACAAATAATGACGGCGCTGCGGAGCAAGACCCCACTAATGTTTGAAGACTCTAGTCTCACCTTTTACCAGGACTTAACGAGGGCCACCTTACAGTGGCGCTGATCACTCCATCCAGTGACCCAACAACTACGTACCGCCAATATTACCTACAGGTGGGGAGCACCAGGCTCACTCTTAACTACACACAATGGGACTACCCTCACACTTATCTCGCTTGTGGAAGCCTCATCCTTTCTTGAAACGCTGGGACTGACAACTGTAGACACATCAGAGGGCCTGAGGGGCCTAGATAATGGCACTCCCTTGGCTTGAAGCACCGGCCAGAGGCACCGCTTGCCCACCCAAACACCGCGAGAAGAAACAACACCAAGGACACTACAAAGAGACTATAAGTATCCGGTCCACCCAGATAATAGCAATGCGAATGTTGGTTCATATGTATATAAGTTGAATACCTCAGAACACCTCCCATTCCCAACCTGTATGACAGGGTCTTCTATCTATACTCCCTTGACAAACGGGGATCCCCCTTAAGGGCACCCAGACCCGCCTCAGACAGCACTACGAGATGATCTACCACCCTCCTCTCCCCCCCTCCCACCCGCTGCCCCCTTGGTTAGGGGCACAAATAGCAAAACAATACATAAACGTTCTAGTGAAACACGCAGACACAGGAGTGAAGCCGGAGGGAACGTAAATACACTCCTGACCCTCCTGTCACATAACCATAGACAGACACCACCCCTCATCAGCGACACACCTAGTTGAAGGTCTTACAAGGTATTGTTTATTAGGAGCAGGGACCTGAGCTAGCGATAAAATTGACCTACAATCAAAACCTTCTTAGCTCCAAACCTAGCCTCAGACCCGCAACCATAAGCTTAGATTCACCCCGTGAGCACTGACATGCCCTGTTGCACCCGAAAAGCACTCACCTCATCACCGACATGTCCTATCAAATGCAGTAGATATATCACAAAAAGTGCTGTATAATCATTGATATTTGCCTATGTCTCGCAATTGTATGCTTGTTCATAACCTACTTCTGCTGTTGTGGCAGAATAGGTAAAATTGTTCTATTATCGCTCGACTAAATAAATAATTAAAAAAAAAAAAATTGTAAAGGGGGTTGTAAAGGCAGAAAGAATCTTTGAAGGTTCTACCTGATGCTTGGGACACCAGTCGGGCAACAAAATACTAGATAAGTATGACAACTGCAGAATTTATTTATATCTGGATTAAACTCTTAGAGTTTCTGTTTGTTTCCTTGAAGATGGGAGGGAGCGATGTCCTCATCTATGATTTAACAGCAATTTTGGGTATTATTACAGCTCCCGCTCCAGGCATCCTGGAAAGTTCTTCACAAAACATCCATCCTTGACTCTGGTTTCTATGGTCACCATGGCGATGATCCACAATTCCAGCCCCGACACCTGAAACCAGCAGGTGTCATTGTTTGGGATGTAATAGATACAAGCCAGTGGGAGGAGAGGTGACCAGAGTCTATATGGAGAGATACATCACTGTCTAAACTGTGTGAGATCTGTTCTGGATCAGAGAGGTCATAGACTGGTAAGGCTAGCCCCTAATTCCACATTGCACTCTTCTAAACCTTCCTTACTAATTTCTTAACTTTGTTTTCCTTCACAAATTCATACATTTCTGCACTAACTACTTCAATCTTTGGCTACCTTTTGGGTGGATAAATCCTTTAACAGAGTCCAGGAAGCCATTTCATAATTTTTGCAGATGTAAAATATCCAATCCCTTTTTCCATATTCTAGCTTCTATCCATTGGGTTCTGGGGGTCTCCTTCTGTTAAAGGAGAAATCATACTTTACAGTTTGAATACTTATCTTTAAGGTATCTCAAATCACTATCCGAAGGACTTGAGACTTGACGAAACCATAGACCCAGTCATGTCTAAGTTAGAAACGGCAATGGATACTCTAATCTCCGTTTTCCATACGTACTCCGAGCGCGAAGGGGATAAAGAGAAGCTGAGTAAGAGAGAGCTGAAAGATCTTCTACAGAATGAGCTGGGGGAATTCCTTGAGGTAAGACCCAACTACTGGAAGAGTTTGTTGAAACATCTATTTAAGAGAGAGTTTTTAAATTGTCACTGACCTAAGGTCATTGATCTAAGGAGAAACAGACACACTTATCTTTCTCGTCAGATATAAATGTTTCTAGATATCTCAAGGGATTTCACAAAGTGCAACAGGGTTCCTATTTGAAAGGAGGTAAGGGAGCTAGAACAAGAGGACATATCATGAAGTTGGAGAAAAGGAATTGTGCTGGTGACAGAAAATATATTATTATATATTTGTATTTTTTATTTTATTTTTCTATATTTATTTTAATTTGTTGTAGATACATGGAAATGTCTTTCATCTAAGATGGTAAAAACGGTATAGTGGGAAATATCATGTTAAACCTTAACATAAAAGGTAACAAAAAAAATATAAATCCTGTGCTGTACATATAATAAATTGACAAACTTAATGGGTAATTCAGCTGTTATCACCCATCGAAAACTGTTTGTTTGGGGTTTTTGCACTAATCACCAAATTGTACTGAACTGAACTGAACAACATATTGAAAAATTTAGGCAAAATTACCAAGCTGTCATGGTAGCTTAATTGAAGATTTTTGGAGAAGATTTTTTTTTTCTTTTCTATTTTTTAATTTGTTAATATTTGGTGTGAAGAGACTAAACCTCTATAAATTAAAAAAAAAAAACCTCTCCAAGCACAATAACAACTAGAGCATTTTGTACACACTCCTCCCCCAATGTAAGTATCATTATTGGCATTTTATTGCGCCAACTTATTCTGCAGCATTTTACAATACTATAAAGGGGGAACTTTAACAATAAATGTAACAATTACAAGATGTTACTGGAACAATAGGTTGATGAGGATCCTGCTTAAAAGAGCTTACAATCTAGAGGATTGTCAAAGCAATTTAGAATGGTTTGACTTCTTACTTGTGGTCACCCAGGTATCACTCCCTGCCTCCACTACATCCTTCAGAGAGCCGATAAAATCATTAACTCTCCCCCCACTCATGGTGTAACTATTAAAATCATATTTTAAATATGAAAACAAGTACATATATAAGTACTGGTGCTCTGTTCATAGGGAATTTCTAATTTCCTAGAGTACATGCTATCCATGATTTGAGTCCAGCTTTCCCACTGGTATGTTGTATGCAATATACAATGGTGGGCTATCCTGTTTTATTGTATACTTTACCAGATATAATAACCGTTATGTCATTTATCTGTTAGCTAGTAAAAATGTCTATTTGTATTACACGGGTTTACTGAGTATTATTTACACTAGTGGATAATGTGTGTCATTTTCTTTGTGTTTTTTATTTTTTTCCCTTTGTTTTCATGGAGGTCACATGACCACACAATCTGTGAATTTTTATCTGGGTGCCATTTGGTGTGTATACACTTAGCCCTTTTCTCTATCTTCAAAATGGCCCAAAAAATGTATAACTTTAAAATTGCATTTTAACACATGTAGCCTGTCCACTCTACCTTTACATGTTTGAGTCAATCTCTCTTAGGACCAAGTTGTATTACAGTGGTATATGAAAGGGCCAGTCTCTCTTAGGGCCGACGTATTTACAGTGCTATCGAGAAAGATCAGCCTCTCCTAGGGTCAAAGTGTGTTAATGGAACACTCTAAACACCTTAAACACTACAATGTACTGTCGTGGTTATGTTGCCTGGAGTATCCCGAGGCTTCTTGTTTTAATTCTTAAAGGAACACTATAGTTACCAGAACAACTACAGCTTATTGTAGTTGTTCTTGTGAGTATAGTCAGTCCCTGCAGCCTTTTTGTTATAAGAAAATGCAGAGAAAATGCAGTGTTTACATTACAGCCTAGGGACACCTCGAGTGGCCACTCCTCAGTTGGCTACTAGAGGTGATTCCTGGGGCAGTGCTGCACAATGTGCAGCACTGACATTGAGTGTCTGACCCTATAGTTTTCCTTTAACTTGAGTCTGCTGGCTTCCACACTCCCCACCACCACAAAGCATCAGAAGCTCTCTGTCTGAGCTAAAGCCAGCAGTGCAGTGATTAGCTAATTGGCTGAGAGCGATTAGCTCTCTTGCTAAGTTAATGGAGGTAAGGAGTGACACCCATTAATCCCCAGGTAAAAAGTCAAACCATTCTAAAGCTTACCACGGGGAGTGTGCCAGGGAATCCTGTCACCATAACCATTGTATTGGTTTTGGTGCCAAAAGTGCCCCGGTGCTGTACTGTAGGCCAAAGTGGTTATAGTTCTTCTGCTAGCATCAAAGTGTATTAACAGTGTTATAGGAAAGGATCAGTCCTAAAGCCAAGGTGCATTAAATGAGCACAGTAGTTATCCAGACCACGTCTGAGTGAAGGGGGCCTTTAGTATGAAGCCTGCAATGTAAAACATGTCTTTATTTTTTTTAGAAATTGCAATGTTTCTAGTGAAGAGTTAAATCCACCTCTAGTGGCAGTCCTCCTGACATCTATGGGATCTCCTTAATAGTGGGAATACTATCAAGCCCCACCTAGCATTAAACCCAATGAAACACTATGTAACTAGGATCTACAGAACTATATTTACTGGTTCATTGTGCTTTTCTGTCTGACATCTAACATGTCCCTATTGTTTATGTTCTTTCTAAAGACCCAGAAAGATGCTTCTTCTGTAGACAAGATTATGAAAGAACTGGATGAGAATGGAGATGGCGAGGTGGACTTTCAGGAGTTTGTTATCTTGGTGGCATCCCTGACAGTGGCTTGCAACTCTTTCCTCTCTGAGAACTCGTGAGCTCTGGGATCTACTGTAGACTGAGAACTGTTATATAATACGAAAACTTTATCTCTGATTAAATATCGTATAATCGTCTCTTGGCTCTGATTTGTTCTTTTGTCATTGCAAAGGTAATTAAGTCATTTAACCCCTTAAGGACACAACTTTTGAAATAAAAGGGAATCATGATGGAATATTTCCGCCATGTGTCCTTAAGGGGATAAAATGATGATTCTCCTGGCTTGATACAAGTACTTGGTTAAGTACAACAATCAGAAAAGAATCATGCTGTCTTCCCTGATGCCAAAAAAATCTGGACAAAATAACAATTTCTGATGCTTTGAGACATAACGGGAAAATCTAGGTAAAACAAATGCAGATTTTTTTTATGCATTTGAACAAGGCAGTTAAAATATATTAAAAATATAGTTTTCCACATTTCCTTTACGAAGTCATTAAAAGCAGAGCTTTCTTACACCGGAGAACTTGTTTTTGTCGCTAACCTCATCCGCTCCCTTGCTTCTGTTTGTACTAGGCCGTATGTTTGCCATAGAGTACAGGGAGCATAAATTAGCATGGTATGAGCAATTACTGAAAAACCAGTGAACATGTCCAAAAAGTATCTGGAAGCTATACGGACTCGAATGAAAATAGACATTAGTTAAAACAATAACATTCCTTTTTTATAGAATTTAAAATTGAGTGTGAATTGTTTAATTAAACAAGTAACAGATATATAGTTTATACAGCGTTCTTGGGAAGATTACATTAATTTCCCAATTGAGAAGCTGGCTAAAATGAACTTATTGCACAGCGCTGAGGAATTTGCTGGCGCTATATAAATAATAATAACGCATCTTCGGCTACCTTGTCATTACCTTGTCTTCTCTCTGTTAATCTCCCTCACTTCATCTCATCTAACCCTCTCCGTCCTGATTCCAATCTCCATTTCCATTTACTACTTACTTTACCCTCGTCATTTAATTTCCCTTTTACGATATCTTTAAATTTTTATTTTTATTAATCCTTCCCCAACTAAAATCTAAAAGCCCTGTTCTATATCTACCATCACCTCCGGTGTATGCTATCATAGCTTCAGGCTATCTTTCTAGGGTCTCCTCTATCCTTTCTATATTTTACTCTTACTCTAATCTTTCTTTCACCTCTCCTTGTTTCCCACCCCACACACATGACCCTAAGCACTAAGTGTGGGAGCTGCCTGCAATAGCAATATAGTTACAGTGACAGACAATATGTATGATGGGTGGTTGTCACTGCTGTCTGCATGGAATTCTCGAAGTGTGTAAGGCCTGCTGCGAAGGTAAAAGGAATGTGATGTTAAATCCAACACAGCGTCGACAACCCCCGCTCACTTGGGGAATACTGCTTGGAAAGTTGCCATGTGCATCACCTGTCACTGCTCCTACAAAAAGGAGTGTTGCTAGGTTTCAGTAACACCTGTGGCTTGATCCCCAAGGAAAAAATTAATTAGACTGACAGAGAGGTAAAGATATGTCATAGCATATCCCTGCCTTTCTATGTTATGTCCTGTCCTATAAACCCATTAACAGCATGCATAGGTGCTAACAGTCACCAATTTTCCAGGACAGACACTCATTTTGGGGATCTGCCTCACAAATTTAGGTCCCGGGACCTTTCATAAATTTTAAATCTACTAGCAGATTTCAAAATGCAGGAGAGGACTGAGTACTAGGACGATGCATGGAGCACTTTACTGTGCATGGTCTGCTGGATGGGGCAGGCTGTCAATCACCCTGTTTATGGACAGACATGCCTCCTTGATGGGAGGTCCCACCCCTTTAGCACGTGGCCGCACCCACCATGCTGGGCAAATTAGCACCTTTTGGCAAGTGGACCAGCCTCCAGTTAGGGGACACCCACTCCCCCTAAGTGTCCTATACTACTATTTCATTTTATAATGGTCAACTGCATTAAGAAGCACGTGCCTGGTTTAAAAGGAAAAAAAAATATTTAATATTTACCTACCCTCTACATCAAGCATGTCAAACTCAAAGTCTAGCACGGGTCAAATAAACAAGGTTTAAGTTTATGTGGGCCACAAAAACAAACTTACATTTTCATAGAAACATTGTTTTTTTTTTGTTTTGTTTTTAAGTACAGTATAAAAAAAAAAAAACAGCATCCCCCTCTACTAAACTACAGCTCCCCCCTCTACTAAATCCCAGCACCCCCCTCTAGCCAACAAGCAGACTCCACTCACATTGCCGCTGCCAGTATGCGACTCCAGAGTCCGGCCTTTGGTATACCCCAAATGGCGCCGTCCGCACCCTGTGCCAAATGGAATCCTCCCACTACTTCTTGAAACCCTGTGAAGGTGGAGCACGTCTACATCACATTGGAATGTGACGTGGCGTTGCGTGCCTCCGTGCACCTCCAGGTACTCCACTGTCCAGCTGCGGCCATCGCAACGCAGACGGACACACACACTCACTGACAGACACATAGACACACCCACCACACTCACTGACAGACACACACACAGACACACTCACTGACAGACACACACACACAGACAGACAAGATTCTTGCACACACATCATTCTCTGGGGTCCAGTGGGGATCTTCTATCTGGAGATCTCTTTCCTGCAACTCACTGCTACCTTGCGCACAGTTAAGTGATGCCGGGCAGGAAATTACGTCATATTCTGGCCCCCGGCATCACTACAGACGGTGCGCGCAAGGGAGCAATAAGGAGCAGGAAGAATGAGCTCCCTCGCTGCCGCCAGCGTCCTGCTTCCTCTCTGGTCGGGTACATTTTAGCAGAGCAGGCACCTGCAATGTGGAGAAAGCAGCTGCCTACTCTGCGTTAACACCAAGCATGTACTCGCGGTTTGCTGGGCCGCGAGTTTGACATGCTTGCTCTACACCAACTGTGGATACCTGGGGCTAAAGACCCCTATTCCGGACACCCCCAGCAATAACTATATCAGTTGGGGGTGCACCCGAATTACTTGCAGGTCAGCCAGGCATGAATGCACGCCAGATTGCCTGTCAATCAAGCAAGCAATCCCACTGTTGGTGCTGTTTGCCTTCCCGCCTCCGGTAACTCCACCAAATGCGCATACACGCATGTTTTTATGTGGGGCTTCTGTGTCAAGTGACAGAGTTTTTCTTGGTCAGTGCAGCAGAAGCGCCTCTAGAGGCTGTCATACTGAAGTTTTACATTATTGGGTTAAGAGGACAGGGACACCGCACTCAGACCACTTCATTGAGATTTGGTTTGCAGTAACCCAGGAGTCCAGGGTACGGTAAGATTTACTTACCAGAAGCTATCCCTCGCTGCTGCCACCATCTCCAACTGAGGGATCCTTCTTCAGTTCCTGGCACTTCATCTGCCAGGAGCTGACTTCAGTGCTATACTGTCGCACATGCGCAAGAATACAACACTGATGTCTATGTAGGATTTTAATTCACTAGGAACCCTCCATAGACAATGCCTTTTCCCCACAGCCGTCATTGGTGACAGCGGGGAGAAATGACAAAACTTGAAGGCGATAACTCCATGTTTTGTCAAAAGGAGAGAAAATACATAAAACAAAATAGTCCCTACTTTGTCTTATGACATCTTTTGACTGTTGGAATTTCAACACAGTCGATGTATTTCCTACATTTTTTCGAGTAGGTCAGGAGTTTAACAGAGTTGGTTTAAATCGGCTATAATGACAGATTGGCTAGCCTTCCCTTAGTTTGCCCTTTGTATATAATTTGCTAAAATGTTGTTGTTAGCCAATAAAGCTGAGAGAATTTTTCCAGTTTATTTATTTTAACTACCATTTAGATTTTTAATTTGCTACTATTTATTGTTAAGTGTAAAATCTGATGGTAACATATTTGAGCCTATACCTCCCAATATTTCAAATGTACAAAGTGGGACACTTTCATTTTAGGGGTGTGGCAATGGGTGGGGTTCTTCTGTGAAAATTTAGGTGATTTACTAATAACAATTTATGGAATTAAAATGTAATCTGAAACAAGAACATGGTATCTTATTTACCCAGACTAATTTCTAAACACATTTATTGCAGTTTAAAGACACATTACTCGGAGTAGTATTGCTGCGGACCTCGGTTATATATTTAGACACATCAACAATATGCATCTCCTAGAAAAGAGGGACACTGGGATAGAAAAGCTGGACAGATGCATTTGGGCCCAAAATAGGGACTGTCCCTCTTAAATAGGGACACTTGGGAGGTATGTGACCGTGAAAAAATATGTTTCCACTTTTATTTATAAAATATTTTACCAGGAAAGATACATTGAGATTTCTCTCGTTTTCAATTATGTCTTGGGTCCACAAAACATTGCATTGATACAATAGGGTACAATAAAATACAAAAACTATATTAATAAACAAAATATAAAAAATTTAAAGGATCACTATAGTGTCATGAAAACAAAGCGGTTTTCCTGACACTATAGTGCCCTGAGGGTGCCCCCACCCTCAGGGTCCCCCTCTCGTGGCACTGAAGGGGTTAAAACCCCTTCAGTTACTTACTTTAATCCAGCGCCGGGCTCCCTCGCCGCTGGTGACCTCTCCTCCCCGTCCGACGTCACTGGAGCTGAATGCGCATGCGTGGCTAGTGCCGCACGCGCTTTCAAAGGGTCCATAGGAAAGTATTTCTGTCAATGAGACAGCCACTAGAGGATTTGGAGGCTGTATTAACCCATTTATAAACAGCAGTTTCTCTGAAACTGCTATGTTTATTTAAAAAAAAGGGTTAATCCTAGAGGGACCTGGCACCCAGACCACTTCATTAAGCTGAAGTGGTCTGGGTACCTAGAGTGGTCCTTTAACCCCAAATGTAAACATAGCAGTTTCTCTGAAACTGTTATGTTTACATGTGAAGGGTTAAAACCTGAGGGACCTGGCACCCAGACCATTTCATTGAGCTGAAGTGGTCTGGGTGACTATAGTGTCCCTTTAACACTTTGATATATGTACAGCTTTTTGTTTTAATAATGTATGACATGGCTAAGGTGGTGAGAGGGATAGAGTTTGTAGCCTGCAGCAGTCTGACTGGTTTATATCACCATGCCAGGCTGTAGCACAGAATAGGATTCTGAGCCATTCTAGTTTTCCCCTATCAAGATGGCCAAAAATGACCCCCCCCCTTTGCTAAGTTCCCTCACTAAGATGGCTGCCACCCGTAACGCTCCTTGGTCTCCATGGTAACCATGTGCTCGCGCAGCGTTTGAAGTGGGCGGGATCAGCTACGTCACCGAGCTCCATTTTGAGTAGGACGATTGGGGGAGGGCGTCCATTTTGTGCGCTGAGCTCGGGGATTAGAGGGAGAGCTGGTAAGGCTGAATTCACAGAGACACCCGGACACTGTAAAGACCGCAACACTGGCTACCGGTCCTCTCGGTAAGGCTCCCGGGTATTACATGGCGGGGGGGAGTGTGTCTGCTTTACTCTACAAACGAGGCGAACTGGGTCCGCGAATGGCGGCTTGTGAGGAGTCAGTGGGTGAGCTGGAGGGGCAGTGTGAGGGGGGCAGGTGAGGGGGGGGGGCAGTGTGGGTGAGCTGGAGGGGGCAGTGTGAGGGGGCAGTGGTGGAGGGAGCTGGAGGGGCAGTGTGAAGGGGGGCTGGAGGGGGGCAGTGTGAGGGGCTGGAGGCAGTGTGAGGGGCTGGGGGGGACAGTGTGGTGAGCTGGAGGGCAGTGGGGGAGTGGGAGGGGGCTGGAGCAGTGTGGGCACAGTGGAGGACAGGACAGGAGGGGGCTGCAGTGTGAGGGGGACAGGGGTGAGCTGGAGGGGAACAGTGTGGGGCTGGAGGGGGGGCAGTGTGGGGGTCTGGAGGGGGGGCAGGGAACACGATGAACATTCTATTTAGGGGTGCGGTGGGGCGATTGGATGAGGATTTATGGGGGCGGATTGGGATCTTTTCAGGTTGTACGGGGAACCTCTTTAGGGGGTTGTAGAGGGTTTGGAGGGGGGACCCGAGTGTTGGGAATGGTCGTAGAGGCTTTGGACCGAAGGGGGGGAGGTTTGTAGAAGGTTTGGATGGGGGAACCTTTTGGGGAGAGGGGGAGGTGTGGATGGGGGGAACCTTTTGGGGAGAGGGAGAGGTGTGGATGGGGGGAACCTTTTGGGGATGGTGGATTGTAGAGGGTTTGGGTGGGTTAACCTTTTGGTTAGGTGGTGGAATTTGAGGGATTTTGTGAATGTAATTGTTATGTAGTTTCTAGAAGAATACGTTTGGTAGGCCACTGTGACCTCATAAGAGAACCGTTTACTTCTTCAAGTAAGAGAGCCAGGTAGCTCCTGGCACCATAACTTAATTTCAATAAAGTTGTTATGGTGCAGTTTTGTTTTTTAAACTGCAGGATGGGGATATTTAAACTTTAAATGCTGAATAATTTTGACTGAAAAACTAAAATGAATTTATTGTTCTGCTGTGCAGGTCAACCCGATATCAAGATGGCTGCTCCGTCTGCATCTAAAGTTGTGCTAAAAAGCACCACGAAGCTGTCCCTGAATGAGCGGTGAGGAAGCCCAACAGCATCTGCCCTTCGTAACATACCAAATGTAGTGGCCTATGTGGCCTTCTAAGGGCAGCACTTGCCCTGCGCCAAACTAAATGAAAGCAGGCGCCAGCTGCTGATTGCAGCCGTGGTACACTTTGATAAAAGGGGCTGTGTGTGACGAGTATATCAGTAGAATTTTGTTAAGTATTTACATGCGGTTATAACACAATGAAACCAGCTCTAGAAGGCCTCACGCCCTCCCTTTTCTTCCACGTGTTTTACATGAGTTAAAATTCTAGTGCGGCCTGGTAGCATGTTACCTGTGCTGCGTGATGCCTGCTGCCGTGTCCAACTCTGACACACTCACGTGTGGTCAGTGATGTAAGAGGCATGATGCAGGCCACTCTCCCTGCCCAAAGACCCTTTAATGACTTTCTAGGGTCTTGTAAGAGGCAAATGCTTTGCTCCCTTCACTTTCCCTTCTGTGCTGTCATCAACGTTTTTATTCTGTCTGTCTCATTACTTTACATGATTGTTACTTGCTCTGACCTCGACTTGCTTTTATATGTGAAGGAACCAAAAGAATTTCACAACTAAGTGTTGCAGATCTGATTTCTTTATGCTTATGGATATTAATGTCAAACATTGCACTCTTAAGTAAAAAGTAATATTTTTCTAACATCAAATGCAATGCCTGTGCTGGTTTAGCTCCTGCCACCCTTTTTGTAGTCTTTGTTTGAGCGTTGCAGGGAGAAACCCATCTTCTTCTAATCTTTCTCCATACCCATACATCATAAATTTGTGATTTGTTTTAAATCTTTTTCTGCACGTCTGTTTTGGTTTTTGTTACTTTAGCTGTCTACTTTGCAAATTTCGCTTCCCAAACCCTGTGCTTGCTCCCTCAGTCTACGTCTTGCTCCTTCCCCTGACTGTAGGTTTCTATTTCTGTGCGTTTGTGGAAATTGCGGAGGCAGTATCAAACTCTGGGAGGTGTACCACTAAAACACATTAAAACATCTATCGTACCCCTGGCGGGCTTTGAGGTACAGAATAGTGTCTGTTGAAATTTGATTAAACCCTGCCCCCATTTTGTTCGACCTTGAAGCTTTACTAACATGCTGAAGAACAAACAGCCGGTTCCCGTGAACGTCCGGGCTACGATGCAGCAGCAGCACTTAGCCAGTGCTAGAAATCGAAGATTGGCTCAGCAGATGGAAAGCAGACCGTCAGTGCAGGCAGCACTGAAGCTCAAACAGGTGAGACCTCCACCATATTTTTTTTGTTGACAGTAAGAACAAGGCAATTGAAAAGCTTAGTTAACTTTTCTGCTAAAATTTTAAGACTACACCAAAATAGTAGGGAAGGTAATTAACTGTAAGTCAAGAAAAGTGAGGTTCCCAATGCAAGAGCAATTCCTCGGAATAGTCTGGCTATAGCAGGTCCATTTTTTTGTTCCATGTATCATAAAAATAGGTGATAATATTTCTAACTGTAGGTGTTCTGGTCAATTAGGTTACTGTTATGTATGACATCTTTAAATGAGGAGTAGTGACGCAGTCCTGATAGCTAACTTATGGCACCAGCTCTTTGAGCTGGCAATATAATTTTGTAGTCCTGCCCCCTTGGCTAGATGGGAGACATTATAGTATGAGTGGTAAAAGAAAGGGCCTCTGAAAAAATGTAGCCAGGTGATCCCTAATCTCGACCAGAATTAAGTAATCTGGCAGACGGTCTCCTACATGTGGATTTTTTGTCTTCTTGGCCCTATTTCTCCCAATCGCTACCCATTCTAACTGGAGCATGTTCTTTATTAATGAGCCTGAGTGGATAGTCAACCATGCAAAAAGTATTTAAATATAATATTGGTAGGTGGTATGATTTACCTTCACCCATATGCATGTGTACGATTGTTCCTTTTTACCCCCTTAAAAGCATGAAAAACCTTATTTCCAGCACCATGTGGCTCTGCTGGCACTGGCCCAGCCCCTTTGGTGACATCATCAGAATGGCCAATTTGTAGCCAATCCAATGCTTTCCCATGGGGAAAGCATTGAATTGGTTAAAATAGGCAAGGGGGCGGGACCAATAGCACCTCCTCATAGCGATGCATTGAATCAATCCATCTGTAAGGAAAATTCAGCGTCCCCATGCATCCCCATACTGTGCAGCACTGAGCCAGGAAGCACCTTCAGTGGTCATCTGAGGCGTGGCCACTTGGACGTGTCCCTAGGGGGCAATGTAAACACTGCCTTTAACTGAAAAAGCAGTATTTGCATGAAAATGCCTGCATAGAATTAAACTCACCAGTAGGGATCGACCGATATTGATGATTTTTTTTTTTTTTTTTTTTTTTTTTTTTGTGCAGATACTGATAATCTGTGAAATTTCAGGCCAATAATTTACCAATATTCTGTATATTTACCATTTTGAAAAAATAAACTTTCTAAAGGTAAATGCACAAAATATAAATGCAACTTATAGTGGATGCAGTGTATTTAGACAGGGGAGCTGTTTGTGTAGTGGATGTAGTGTGTAGTGTGTATATAATGAATGTAGTGTGTTTTTCTGTATGTATGTAATTTGGGGGGGAGGAGCATCTTCTTTTTTTTTTTTTTTTAAATATAATTTTTTAGTCCCCCTCTCCCTGCTTCTTACTTGGCCAGGGAGGGAGGATATAGCATTCCCTGGTGATCCAGTGGCATGGAAAGTACAGTGGGGGCCCGCAGCAAGCACTTACCTGCGTTCCCAGCAGCTCCCTGTTTAAATCTCGCGGCCTCTGACTGCCGCGGGACTTGCAAGGTTTACACAGGGGAGCTGCTGGGAAGGCTTGTAATGAGCCCCGGCGGTCCTGATATGTATTATCGGCGATATCAGTATGTTTATTAGCCGATACTACAGAAAATACAGAATATCGGCTGATATCGGCCACACTAATAATCGGCTAATCCCTACTCACCAGAACAACTACATTAAGCTGTAGTTGTTCTGATGACTATAGTGTCCCTTTAAGTATAACAAATTAGGGAGCTATCTACTAAACACATGTATGTACAAACACAATCACAGACCTATACATGCACATGTACCCACAGACCCACACAAATAATCTAATATATACACATTTTAGTAATTAAGAGGTCCACCCAGCCTCCATACCTTGCTACAGGGGGGCTGGAGTGGATCCTCTACCTGGTGGCCAGTGGTTGTTGCTGTGATGGGATCACTGTGCTCTTCCTGCATTCTTTACACCAATCGCGTCATATCCCAGCTGCCGGCTCAATGCAAGGCATGTGAGGAAACTTTGCAGGAAGCGCACCCTAAGTAATGCCTCTCTGCCTCCCTCGCAGCCTGGAAAGCAACTGGGCTGCCTTACTAGCGGTTCAGGGCTGCGTGTTAAACACCTGCTTTAAGGGAACACTATAGGGTCAGGAATACAAACGCATATTCATGATCGTATAGTATTTAAAAAAACAAAAACAAAAAAAACCTTTAAGTGTCCGGCTCCCTTAAGTATTTTACTTGCCTTTTATTTCAGCGTTGCGTGGGTCTGATGGCACTTGCTCCACCCATGATCCACTGCGTTGATTGAGATAATCTGAATTGAAGATATCTGCCAATCCAATGATATCCTATTAGAAAGCATTGGATTGGCTGAAGTCAATTCTGATGATCTCAGACAAGGTGCAGAGCCAAATGCCATGCTGGCCAATCAGCATCTCCTCAGTGCCTCTGAGGAATGTTCAGTGTCTCCATGCGAAGCGTCTGAGTGACAGACACTCCAGGTGTCCCTAGGTAGCAATGTAAACTGTTTATAGCAAAAGGCCTGTGTGGACATGTTTTACACACGAGAACTACAACATTAAGCTGTAGTTGTTCTCGTGACTTTAGTGTCACTTTTAAATTGTCTGAATTCGTATAGTGGAGGGTATTTTCTGTAGAAAGTACATCTGATACAGAAAGGAAAACTGTGAAGGTTAACCTCACGGTGCACCATTAGTGGAGGATTTTAATATTTGCCTCCACATAGATAACTTGTGCTACAGATCAGTTTTTTGTAATGACTTGATTATTGTAACAGTGTCTTATGATTAATTATGATTTCTCCTAGTTTTATGGTATGCCTCTATAGCTTTTGTAGATAAAATGTTGCTTCTATTGGCAGCATTACCCTGCCACAACATCTCTTGTCACAATGTATTACTGCTTGCAGGTACTCCGCCAATGTTAGATCCTCTCTGTTCTCTCGGTTGGTTCACATTGATCTCTTATTGGGTGGTCTGCACTGGCTACGCACAAATAAAGGTGTTTTGTGAAAAGGGAGCATGTTTTAAGCAGACTATTGCCATTTGTTTTACTTTTTCATGCATTTCTTTTGAATTTATATAAAAGAATTTAAAATACGGCATGAGTTTCATTCTGATAAGGGGAGGCCAGGGAAAAAATTGCAGATAAAGAGAAATGGAAACCTTGTTTTATTTTGTATGCTGTCTCTTTGCTGGATGCCTAGTGCAATGAACAGATCTTATGTTTGACAGGAACCTAAGCTGGTGGTGCCCCGTTTCAGGATATCAAAGTGTGAATTTATGCATTTAAATGTATTTGCCGTATCTCGAAAATATTTATTTGTTAAAGGAACACTATAGTGTCCGGAATATTAACATGTATTCCTGACACTATGATTTTTAAGTGACTGTTTAGTTTGCCACTGAGCACAGTAAGATCTTTTTTTTTTACTTTTTTCCCTCGCCTGGCTCTCCTCCATAATTGTGTCCTAAAATTTTAGTCACCTCAGCCAATTTAATGCTTTGCCAAAGGAAAACATTGGGAGGCTATTGCACTCACTGTGCCAATCAGCATCTCTTCAGAGATGCATTGAATCAATGCAAATGTATGGGGAAGGTTCAGTGTCTCCTTGCAGAATGTATGCACACTGCATAACTGGACTAGAAAGCACCTCTAGTGACGGAGTGATTGCACCTAGCCGTGTTTCTAGCCAGTGATGTAAACACTGCCTTTTCTTTGGAAAAATGCTATAGACACCAGAATCAATACATTAATCTGTAGTGGTTCTGGTGATTAGTGCCACTCTAAATATCCTGGCATGTGACCGTAACCCTTTAAAGGGCCGTTAAATTCACCCATCTCGATAAAATGGCCTGGTTGCAGTGATCCAGTCATTCAACCCATTCAACGTAAAACATTGCTGTTGAATGGCAGTATTTACCTTGAAGGGTTACACACACCTTTCAATGGCTGTTATACGAACAGCCACTGGAGGTTTTTCCCCTGCAGCGACTGAGTAAAATCTGGTAGTGTGATGTTGCAGCCCCAAAAGGAAAGCATTGATCTTGTGCATTCCTGTATGGAAGCTTGGATGTTCGTGTACATCAGGACCCCAAAAGCAAAACTAAAGAAATGAGAGAAAAATGCTGACTATTCTAAAACCAGTGCAATGCATGTTGTGTTGGTGCTGTTTCCTCCTGTTTGACTTTTGCCTAGGTCTTTCAGATGTCTATTCTCTGGCCCTCTCCACAGATGGTTAAAATATAAGTTTATCTGCTTTTGCGCAAAAGATTTATTTCAGGCTTGGGCAGAAATCATTCGCTGGGGCAAAAACATTTTACCATTTTCTTTGTTACAACTGATTGCATATTTCGAGTCTTTTAGGTCTATATAATTTGTACAGGGTAATGCAGAAGCAGTGTTTGAGGGACTACTAACACAGGTCTGTTAAGCACTCATTCACTGACCGACCACTGGATTATCATTCATGATTTCATGAAGTCAGGTGTAAAGTTAAACCAGCAGGGGCTGTGTTCACCACACACCCTGGAAAGCGGCCAGTGGAATACTGCTTGTGTGGACTTGTGTGTTCATTTTATTAGGATGATGTGTGATATCTTTAAATGTTATGCAGTAGATATATAAAAATGTAATTGGATGTGTTGACACATGTAACCCTGCTGTGTATTTTCTATATAGGTATCTGCATATAATACAACTCTGTGCAGTGTCGATTTATGCCAGGTTTAACAGTCCTTGCTGTGCAGTTCACCAACTCTCCAATAATTACTCTATCAAGTTTTCCAAAACATTACTCAGTTCCAGTGTCTAGTTTTTCTCAAAACCACCTCCCTGAATCTGTCAAAATCCTTTTTTCTCTTTGATATATCTGCAAGTTTTTAAAGTGGATTAATACAGGGCTCGACAAATCCCAGGTTGCTATGGTGAACCGGAATTTTGTACTGGTGACTGGCATTTGTGAGCCCGTTCCGTCTGGGGCGAACTGCTGGCTCACCGACTACCTAAAGTACACACAGCCAGCTGCCTGCCTTAATTTTCTCTCAGCAGGACACCTAGGGGACCCTAGGAAAAGCTGATCCACTCCAGTTCTCCCAAAGGATAAATCTGGTTTGTAGCTTAAATAGCAGTCACACAATCCAAAATCACTGCAGAATTGTATATTTTTGCAATGTAGATCCCTTGGGGTAGTTAAAGGGACTCACCAGTGCCCTGCCCCATCCCATGTTGCTGAAGGGGTTGAAACCCCTTCAGTGACTTACCTGAGTCCAGCGCCGATGTCCTTCGGCGCTTGGTCAGGCTCTGATGGCGGCGGGGAGATCTAATGCGCATACGCGGCAATGGCCGCACGCGTTAGACCTCCTCATAGGAAATCATTATTCATTGCTTTCACATAGCGTGAGGACATCCAGCGTCATTTAAAACACTTTGTGTTCTAAGAACATGGAAATCCCTATACTGGCTGTCTGATAGACAGCCACTAGAGGAGGACTTAACCCTGCAAGGTTGTTGTTATTGCGGTTTATAAAAACTGCAATAATTACACTTGCAGGGTTAAGGGTGGTGGGGGTTGACACCCTGACCACTCCAATGGGCAGAAGTGGTCTGGGTGCCTGGAGTGTCCCTTTAAAGAAGCATTCCAGGTACCATAGCCACTACAGCACATACATTTAGCTTTTTCTCCGTGGTAGAGCAGTTACATGTATACCTCTTCCAGGCTTTTGTGGAACTGATAGTAAATTTACAGCCAGGCCTCACTTTTGAGATGCCTTTATTGCTAGTTGATGTGACTCCATACTGTCCACTAATGTGAGGCTTTGACTTTTTCTAACACTCACCTTTTAGTAGATGGATCTCCAAACTGAGTAATGACTGTGTACACCAATCATTGTTTGCTTAACCTTAGTTGACAGCTTGGGCATTTTATCAATGTTATTGACTTTTAGGATGATCAGATCGCCTGGAAGCAAGTGATATTGATTGCCTGCCTTCGAGTCTCAGGGGACTCTTCCAATACACCCTTATGAAAGGTTTGGATGTGGGTGAAGTTAAGGAGGAGGCACATTTATATGGTCTATTTACCCTGTATGACAACCATCACTAAGTCAGTAATTGACTGTGACATTGTGTGGTGGCTGTTGCTAAAGGGTTAAATTAAACAAGACAACTTGAGTAACATTTTGACGTATGTGTCAAGTTAAAGGAGCACTAGTCATCAGAATTACAGCTTTAATGTGTAGTGCTTTCCTGGGACTCCCATAGTCCCCTTCTGCATTAAAGGGCAGTTCATCTCCCACAGCAGTTCATCTCATTCAAGTGGTCTGGGTGCAGTGCCTCTGTCGCCTTAATTATTGCAGTTAATGAGAAACTGCAATAATTACCTTGCAGGGTTAACTCCACCTCTAGTGACTGTCGGCCAGACAGCCACTACAGGCCCTTCTGGTTTCTTAACGGACTTTTGGTCACCTAACTGACAATGGACGTCTTCACGTTTAGAGTGAGGTCATCCAGCGTCTGCTAAAACCTTATAGGAAAGCATTGATTCAGTGCTTTCCTTGGGGGAGTCCTAATGCCATTGCCGTTCTTTAGGTCCACCATTTGCTTCTTGTGGAGTTATTGGCTAGCTTTTGTTAACTCCACTTAGTCCTGCTGTGTGTGTTCAGCTTTCGGACACAGCTCAGTGGCATGCTCTAGTGGATATGGTATTTGGAGTGTTTTAACGTTTTTATTATGAAACGCCAGTCATTTTGCAACAACTTGGCACCTTTGAGCTAAAAAATTAAATGTACTTTCAATATGGCAATGGTTCAGAATTTCTCTTATATGCATTGGTTGCTGGACATGTGAGTGTAACACTGATTTTGTTTGGCATCTTTTTTTTTTTTTTTTTTTAAGGGAGAAAATCTGTCTCTCCAATAATGTTAAACAATAGTACAAGTTAAAAATCTCGAAGATACTTTATTAAATCAAAAAAGAACTAACATACAATAAACAGGGCACGCCCTAACTATAGCTACCACACTGAAATAGTATGACTCAAAAGAGGTTGCAGCTTGCCTCTTTTGAGTCATACTATTTCAGTGTGGTAGTTATAGTTAGGGCTTGCCCTGTTTATTGTATGTTCTTTTTTGATTTAATAAAGTATCTTCGAGATTTTTAACTAATACTATTGTTTAACAATATTGGAGGGAAAGACTTTCTCCTTTTCTCCCTTTCAATTATTTTATTAGGGTTACCCCCTGTTTTTTCCTTTTGGATTTGTGGCCAACTAGTTTCTATTTCCCTTTTTTTTTTTTTTTTTTTTGGTACATTTTTCTGCAGTTCTTTTGAGTTTTGTTTATCTTGTCATTACATATTTTGCATGTCTGTTTTATGGTGTCTTGTGTTGGATAGTGGGTATGGAGAGAGCCTCACATGCTGACCCCTCAGTTTTACTTACTGCTTTACCTACTGAGCCTTAGTAAATCTTTAATGAAAGGTGAGATAGATAATGTTCTTCTAGGTTTAAATACATGCTGCTTTATTCCCCTTTCAAACAGCCATAAAACATAGAATGGTAAATTGTATTTTAACTGGTTACTCCATTTTTCCACCTAGTATTTCAGTCAGGTTTTTGATTCTGTATATTGTCTGTGCAGTTGGCAATCTGTTTTCCTGGTTTCTCTGATGTTCAAGACTGTTCTCCTAATCAAAAGTCTGTGTGATTTCTGTCTTTGTCAAAATTGAATGTTTGTTATAAATCATCATTTTTTTATCTTGCTAGAGTTTGAAGCAGCGCCTTGGTAAGAGCAATATCCAGGCTAGATTAGGAAGACCAGTGGGAAACCTCCGTGGAGCCCCAGGCATGAGAGGAGTGGGATTAGGACTCCGTGGCTCACAAAGGGGAATGATGCGTATTGGCCGTGGTGGCAGAGGGATACCCAGGGGTGGCAGATTGATGCGAGGTAAGTGGAACTCTTCTTAGATGTTTCGTTTGGACAGTAGGATGTATTTAATTCATTAACAATTCCTTGCTCTATTTAGGACAAAATCTCCGAGGTAGAGGTGGCGTCCCCCGCATGGGACTTAGGCGGGGAGGTATCAGAGGCAGAGGAGGGCCTGGTCGAGGCATGATGAGAGGAGGTCCAATGGGTCGTGGTGGTATGAGTGTAAGAGGTAATTGTTGTCCTAATAGGTCTGGAAATTTGAGTGGGAATAAACTGGACTGTTAACTAAACACTAAAATCTTGTTTATTTCTAGGACATTTCTCATTTCAAAATTGTCAGGTATATAAAATGGCTTAATGGATTGGACAAAAGGGAATAATCCCTCTTTGAAAAAATAGGAAGGTAGAAGTAATGGTCTGAAAGAGGTGTGTATCCACTAAGCTACTCGTAGAAACAGCCAACACCTTAGGCTGCATATATAAAACAAAGTAGTGATAGGGGAAGCAAAAAGAAAACTATCTATTGCTCCAACCAGGCGTAGATACCAACACCTAGAATAGTATTTGTGATATACACGTGTAGATCCAGATAAAGAGTGATAGGTGAATATACCCGCAGCAGAGATAGATCTGCTACACAGTGAATTAAAGAAGGCATAAATCCCTATAGAGAAATGATTCAATAACATGCAGTTCTTTGAAGCCTATATCAACAGGAGAAAATACACACAAAAATTGTATCTAAATATACAAAATGTCAGTGAGTGTAGACGATACTTAGGCAATCTCAGTTATGAGTATATGAGTCCCCCAGGAATCCAGAGGAGTAAATTCAGTCCAATAATGTCTATTATATGTAAGCTCTTGTAGAGGTTAGGCAGATATACTTGCTATGAGGACAGCAGGGAAACTAGACAATTAGAGCTGAAGTATTCTAGTAACAGACTATTATCCCTATCAATAGTAGTATGGTACATTTAAAAATTACATTAAATTGAAATAAAATAAAAATAGCAAGCATGTAAAGGTACAGGAATAACATTACATAAATGGTCAGCAGAATCCATGATGATTTCTTCACCTATAGCACCATCCGTTGATCTCTATAATATACAATGCAGAGGCATAGTGTTCTCCGTATAGAATTGTAGTTCAAACAAAAGAATTATCAAAGAAGTATAAAATGGCTTGCATTCAAGTTAATCTTGTGCCTTTTGGAATAGTTTTATGGGACTTCTCTGATGCTAAAACAGCCAACATGGACAGACTGTTGGTTTCTGTCATTATTGCGACACTTACTTTTTTTTTTTTTTTTTTAAGGGAGGGGGAGGGGATGACGAATTAAGGTTTCTGAATCACATATTCAATGTAATTAAATGATACATAAACTTCCTCAGATACAGTCAGGCATGATTTCTGACACTAAACAATTGACATACAACATAACAAAAAGCTGCAACAGGAAATAATACAGAATAAAACAAGAAGGGTAGATTGGGCACAATCGAAATGTATAACTGCAGATTACCATGTATGTAGAATGAAAAAGAAAAGACAAGTATAGTGGCTAGTCTGTGAAACCTGGTCACACTCACTGGAATTTTACTTTTGATCCTATGAAACTTCTGTTCTACCCTTGTGAAACACAATCTAAAATGCAAAAAAACACCCCACTTTTCAGGGTTTTTCACTAAATTGAGAATTGTCAGAAATTCAAAATGAATTTCAAATTTTAGAACAAAAATAGCAGATTTAGAAAAACTCTCCCAAGTCAGCTGTGATTCTAACTTTTGTGAATAACCCCCTGCTTTTCTATGAGTGGGTGATCAATAATGTGCTATGGACGCCTAACATTATTTACTAACTTGTTTCTCCCTTTCAGGCAGGGGAGGTATGATGACTCGAGGTAGAGGAGGATTTGGCCGTGGGAGAGGACGGGGTAGAGGAAGGGGATCCATACGCCCTGCATTGACCCGAGAGCAGCTGGATAACCAACTTGATGCATACATGTCCAAAACAAAAGGCCATCTTGATGCAGAGTTGGATGCCTACATGGCTCAAGCAGACCCAGAAAGCAATGAGTGAACTCAAACTGATTTTTAGCAAAGGAACTGACTTCTACCAGTGTCAAAGACTCACTGGGTTACAAGCCAATCGTCACCTCGTTTTAGAGTTCCTTTTACATTTTGATACAGCTAGATTTTTGTTTTCTTTAAATATATTTTATTAAACCTTGAATGTATAAAGACATATACAACTTGGCATTTTTCACCATCCAAACCTTTACTGCCCACATTAAGCACTGCACAGCTCAAAGCTGTGTTAAGGTGCCTAATCAAATTTTGCATCTATATAAAACTGTGATACTAATGGCCTAGTTTCTTTCTGTTCTGCCACTTGAATTGGTGGCTTGTAAGACATGCTGATTGTGGTTTTGTAGGATCCCCCGTTACATTTACTTCTGCTCTACGTATTTGATGTACAGCTTTTTTTTTTTCCAAAGTTTGTTTAGGCGGTTTTAGCCGACATCCCAGTATTGCAACTTGATATAACTGGATTTTGTGAAGAAAACATTGTGGCTCGTTAAGACCAGTACAATATCTCTTATTTCCCAGGCAGCAAAGTGTTTATAAGCATGTCTGCCAATAGACCTCACAAAGTCTGAGTGAAACCAATTTTGTTCATTCAGTCACATGATTTTGTTTTTCTAAGTTTTATATGTGTGGCATATTGAAGTGTGTTACTGGCATGTTATCTGCCATTGAGCCAGATCAAGATGGGGGGTTTTATATGTTTTTAACAGAACCTTTCTACTTGTTACATTTTGGTTCATTAGGTTTAAAAAAAAACAAAAAAAAAAAACGTGGCTAGTAATTGATCTAAGGAACAGTAATGTGTCAACTTTCAAAAATTGTTTCCTTATCTATATACTAGTTTTATGAATAGATTTAACTTGTTTAAAGGAAACTTTTTCTTGCCTAGTTTTTTCTTTACCAATCTTACTGGCTCAGTGAAATTTCTAGTGTGACCATTGCCTTTAGTATCCTGTTGGCAAAAGACAACTTATATAATTTTCTTTACTTTCTGTGAAAGAGTGTTTGAGTCTCCGAGGTCCAAATGTGTTTAAAAGATTCCATCTAGCTCCTGTCACTAAATAATGTTTATATTTATTGGAAGAAAATGAATTGGATCCATGTCTCCACATCTTGTAACCTCACACATAAAGGTTTATGGAAAGAAAGTTCAAATGTTCATCTGTGGAACCTTAAATTGCTATAAAATAAAACACATTTTCCCACTTAACTCTGCTGCAAAATTTGAAATTGGGTCTGTTCTGCTTTAGAGATATTAAAATTCCTTTTTAAAATTCTGGCGATATCTTTTCACGAAATAAGTTTAAGGTTCTTGATAAGAAATACAGTATATACATTTTCCTTATGGTGACTGATCTTAGTCAGGTTCTGTAAGAGGCAGTTGGTTAATATTTTGATATAGAAATGGGAAGAGACCCTAGATTTGAATCATGCCCTGTACACAGTAACTTTTACAAGACCCGTGGGGGACAAAATGCTAAAAAGACATTCTGCTTCATCAGTGTTCAGCCTTTTTTATTCAACATTGAAATTAAATTAGGTCTTTCTGAGTACAGCATTATTTGTAGTCTTGTAGTACCTCCCATCCCCCAAAGTAAACAAATCAAACCTTATTGTCTATAATCACCTGATTTTTGAAGTTCTTGGAAAATGGCTAACTCCTACTGATCAAATCAGACCTTAGCCAGCTCTTACTGATAGAATAGAAATTTGAGATTGGTCGCCTACTAAGATATCTCCTTGGATCAAGCAGCTATTACCCCACTGATTAAAAATTATATCCCTGTATGTTATGTTTTTGGAAGTATTTATCCAATTGCTGTTTAAACATCTGTATGGACTCTGATAAAACCACCTTTTCAGGCAGAGAATTCCATATCCTTATAGTTCTTGCTGTTAAAAACCCTTTATTTTCCTTAGATTAAATCTCCTTTCTTCCAGCCTAAATGCGTGACCTTGTGTCCTATGTATTGACCTGTTTATGAATAGATTTCCAGATTATGGTTTGTCCTGGGCCCAAATATATTTGTATAATGTTATCATATCCCCTCTGAGGCACAGTTTTTCCAAACTAAAGAGGTTAACATTTTTTAATCTTTCTTCGTAACTAAAATGCTCCTTTCCTTTTATCAATTTTGTAGCTCGTCTCTGCACTTTTTCTAGTGCCCTCATATCCTTCTTTAGAACAGGTGCCCACAATTGTACAGCATATTCAAGGTGTGGTCTTACCAGCGATTTTATAAAGAAGCAAATTATATTTTCATCCCGAGAATTTATGCCCCTATTTATACATGACAAAACCTTACTGGCCTTTAGCAACTGTAGATTGACATTGCATATTGCTGCCTAATTTGTCTATAATCCTTCTCATGTGTTATCCCTAATTCAGTTGTTTGTGCATTGTTGACCCGGAAGTACATAATTTTACATTTCTCTACATTAAATTTCATCTGCCATTTTAGTGCCCAGTCACTATAACTATATATATATATATATATATATATATATATATATATATATATATATATATATATATATATATATATATATATATATATATATATATATATATTTCAAAGCTGTTTATTGAGCAGAACAATAATACTGAGAAGTATGCAGAAAGCTGCAAGATATAGAGCGGACACGCAGGTATGCAATAATATACAGCTATATATCTGTTCATAATGTAGCTAGGTATCAGCAAAACAAGCTATGTAGCATAATTCAAGCTGAAACAGTGTTTAGGCCACCTCATGGCCTCAGTAGGCATGTTGGTATTTCACAAACACTGAAATAACATTCAATTAACAATACCGAACAGGTAGAGGGCGTATCCTGCTCACATTTTATTACTTTACAAAGTTTTGTGTCATCTGCAAACACTAAAACATGGCTTTCACTGCCTATTTTAAGATCACTTATAAATGTTAAATAGAAGCGCTCCCAAAATAGAACCTTAAGGGACACCACTTTACACTTCCGTCCTGCTTGAAAATGTAAAATTAATGACAACTCGTACTCTATTCTTAAGTCAATGTTCTACCCAAGAACAAAAATATCCATCTAGACCCAAATTTTTTTAGTTTGAAGACTAACCTAGTGTGAGGAACCATATCAAATGCCTTGGCAAAATCCAAGTAGACCACATCCATTGCAACACCCTGATCTATACTACTTCTGCTTTGTAGAATGCAATTAGATTAGTTTGACATGACCTATGTTTCATAAAACCATGCTAATTATTGCTAATAACAAAGTTATTCCTAAATATAATCCCTTAATAGCCTTTCATATCCCAGTCACAGAAGTTAAGCTCACAGGTCTATAATTTCCAGGCAAGGATTTTGAACCCTTTTTAAATATAGGAAAAACATCTGCCTTTCTCCAGTCCTCCTGTACAATATCTGAAACAAAAGAATCTTGAAAGATTAAATACAGAGGTCACTTATTTCCCCACGTAGCTCCTTAAGTACTCATGGGTGAATACCGTCAGGCCCTGGAGCTTTGGCATAATTTTTATTTATTTTTTTAACTGCTGTAGCACCTTGTCTCTATTCATCCAATTATGAGTTATCTGCAAGTTTTTTTGCAGCTATAATTTGCATATCTCTTGCCATAGGATCCTCATAAATATACTGAAGAAACTTATTTAAAATTTCTGCCTTTTCCTGGTCTTCATTAATTAACAGACCCATCTCTGTTTCCAGTACACTTTAATTTTTTTGTTGTACTTTTTAAAATTGATGTACTTGAAAAATGTTTTGGGGTTGGTTTTGCATTCTTTGGCTATTCCGCATTTTCGAGTTTAGCCACTTTAATTGCCTTTTTGCAAGCATTATTGGCTTCCTTATGTCTTTTATATTGGATACCTCTGGTTTGTCCTATTTAAATGCCAGTTTCTTATTTTTAATCTTTTTTGTTTTACTTTTCTACTAAGCCACATTGGTTTCAGTTTGTCTTTTTTATATTTATTACCCAATGGTACATACTGAGAAATTTACCTTTCTAATATTTGTTTGACACGTTTTTATTTATCTTCAGTGTTTTTTTCCACTAAGGAGTTTATGCCAGTTGATATGTTGTAGAGCTGCCCTAATCTTATTGAAATTGGCTTTTTTTAAATTATATGTTTTAGTATACCCCACCTGCTTTTGCTTTTTTGAGTTTATTTCAAAAATTACCATATTGTGATCACTATTTCCCAAATGCTCCCCTACTTGAATGTTGGTTAAAAGATCAACATTGTTTGTTATAACGAGATCCAGACAAGCATCCTTTCTAGTTGGTGCTTGTACCAGTTGTGACATAAAGGTGTCATTTAACACATTCAAAAACCTGATTCCCCTTGCTGAAGTACTAGTCCCTCTATCCCAATTTATGTCTGGGTAATTAAAATCTCCAATAATTAACGTGTTACCTCGATTTGCAGCTTTCTCAATTTGCTCTAACAGCTGTTCTTCCTTATTAATATTTACATTAGGTGGTTTATAACATATCCCAACCAATAATTGATTTCCCTTTGTTTGCCCCAAGCAGATATCTACCCATAAAGCCTCCACCTTTTCCTCGTCACACTCCACATGCCTAAGATTTGACTTTAACTCACGGTTGACATATAAACATACCCCACCACTTTCTTGTTTTTCCTATTCTTCCTAAATAACGTGTACCCATTTAAATTAACTGCCCAGTCATGTGTCTCATCCCACCATGTTTCTGTTATGCCTATTATATCATATTGTTTAGTGTATGCTAATGCCTCTAGTTCCCCCATTTTGTTATATGGGCTCCTTCCATTAGTAAGCATACAGCTTAGACCCTCTTCCGTTTAGGTGCAATCCATCATGACTATACAGGTTGTACCCAAGCGCAAAATCGATCCAGTGCTCTAAAAACCCAAAACCCTCTTACCTGCACCAAGACTTTAGCCACGCATTGACCTCTCTAATCTCCCGCTGCCTTTCTGCTGTAGCGCGCGGTACAGGTAATATTTCTGAAAAAATTACCTTGGAGGTCCTTTTCTTTAGCTTACTTCCTAGTTCCCTGAACTCATTCTTTAGGACCTTCCATTTTCCTCTGACTTTGTCATTGGTACCAATATGGACCATGACAACTGGGTCATCCCCAGCCCCTCCCAATAATCTCTCCACTCATTCAGCAACATACCGGAACAGAGCACCCGGGAGACGGCAAACTGAGTGGCAGCCCTATCTACGCTCAAGTAGTCCCCTACCACCACAACCTGTCTAGTCTACCCTACACTCTCAACCCCACCTGTACTAGAGGGGCTGTTCCCACGGCTGTTAGAAGGAACAGCTTCCTGCAGTGCAGATGCTCCCAACATCTTCACTCAAACTGGCCAATCTGTTAGTCTGCACAAGATCAGGACTAGCTAAACCTTTCCTCGCCCCAGTGTTACCCAGCTATGTGCCTGTTCCAATTCCTGAAAGTATTCTAGAATGGCCACCTCCTACCATTCTTATTGCCAACTGTACCTGTTAGTTTGAAATTGGCCAGCTTGTAACTTAGAATGGAATGGAAATTCTGCACTGCCTAGGCACATAGTCATAATAACTGGAGAAAGAATGCCTTATTTCTCTCTTTATCTAATCTGTAGACATTGACCATGCTCACATGAAAACATATGGTTCTTAAACCGTTCTAAATTTAAGAAACTTGCATTGAGTGGTGCATGTTCTATTTGCTTGCTTTAAAGTCCACTCGGAATACACGAGTCTGTGTAGTGAAACTTTTTTTTAGGGCAGCTGAGAGACTGGGTGACCTGATAGGTACACCTAATGGTCTATTACATAATGATCTGTCCTATCTGGATACTTTGGTCACATTTTAGATGCTAATTATTGTTGTCTTAAGACCTTGAATGCCTCCCTAATTAATGCTTGGCGCCCTGTAGACCATGACCACATGTTAATGGTAGCAGGGATGCCACAAGTCATGTATACGGCAAAAACATACAGAAGTTGATCCCAGGACACTTGGTTTTTTTTTTTCTCTATTAGTAATGTGTATACTCAAGGCTTCTACACTCAGTGTAATGTGTCCTCTACTGTGATCTGTTTATTTACCAGTGCCAATACACGATACACTTAAATAAGGATCTTATCACAAACAATTGTTTTAAGTTTTTAGCAGTTTGCACTGAAATAGAAATGCTGACAAGCCTTTGCCCTTCATTTTATTCGAACTTGTTTTGTGTTTTGGATGATTTTCTTGTGAATAATTTTGTATGTCAGTAACTTGGGGACTGCAATTCCTGGAGTTTCATGGCCGTGTTTTGCAGGAGGGTGATGGGTGTGTATAAATTGTTTCTGCTGTGCAAAATTGCAATGTCTAATCCTGATTGGCTATTCTCCAAGTGCTCCCTAGGACCTGGGTTACTTCAATAAATATTTTCATGTCATAACTGTACAGAATTAGAGTATTGAATAGTAGCCCTATGGAGAAAGCATGTAGCTTAAGCCATGGTTTAAAACTGCCCTTTTTTTGGGAGGGGGGTTGTGGTTGTGTTTACATGCATGCCCACATGTTTTGGAGTATTTGTGGCCACAAATACTCCAAAACGTGGGCATGCATGTAAACACCACCACATACACGTCACTATATACATGCACCATCCCATTTATTTATTAGTTATTTATAAAGCGCCAACAGATTCCGCAGCGCTGTACAATTAGTGGAGAACGTACAATATACACAGACAAATACAAGAGGTCGAGAGAGCCCTGCACTTAAGCTGATAACTAGCCATTGGAGCTCTTTTATACAAAGTTCTTGGCTAGATGGCCCATGAACACATTTGGCATATAGGATGGCACTCCTAGAACTATGGCTTTTATAGAAAATGTTGCAAGTACTCTGCATAGTGCTACTAAGTATAGCACCAGTCCCAGTAACTTGAAGGGCTGTAGACAGAACAACAATGTTTACAGTAGTTGCTTGATTTGTGTGTGCGCCCAATGGGGGCGTAAGCAAGAAACCGTAAAATAGTTTAACGGGATACAACAGTAGGTAAAGGAAAGAAAGAGAATATAACACTCCGCTTATCACCAAAGAGAATTACTTGTCTAGAATACCATTGTAGGTACACTTACCTCATCTTAAAGGATCACTATAGGGTCAGAAACCCAAATATGTATTCTTGACCTTA